CGTTTCAGTCCAAATACTGCAAATCAGTTCCAAATTCACTGGAATATGCGCAATACCCCAAATTCTGGGATTGAGCCTTAAGAAATTCAGTACTTTTTGTCCTTCAGATGATGCATCGGGCAATTTATTACGCAGCTGATGGAAGAATTGGTCTACATATTTACTAATATTTTTATCGGTAAATTCGACAATCTCCACTCGCACAGAGTGAGATAAAGTATTGAAGTATGAACGCGATGTCACAATGTGATGTGGAGTGTTGAGTAACTGTTCGAATATAAGTTGTAGATGTGATGGTACATTTTGTATGATTTCATCGTACCCATCCAACAGCCATAGCACTTTACTTTTATTCAATAGGTCTTTGAGAAGGCTTTTATCTTCTTCAGAAAGATCACGACTAAGGCATTCCCTCGCCACAATGTCAACTAAAGAGTAACCTATGCCAGGTGACAGTGGAGAATAACGATTCTCGGTTAAAGACCGTAAGCTAACTAAAGCAACTAAATTATATTCTGGCCAAAGAGCATCCGTTGCCCATTGATGAGCAATATAACGACACAAGGTGGTCTTACCAATTCCAGCTCGACCAAATACAAGTACTTTCTTTCCTGGTTCCTTGCATGTTTTGAACATATCTTCGACATTGATTCGTGTTTTGACACCATAGATATCTTCGTAGGTCCCCATTATCATCTCTTGTTGATTAACATCACCAAGTTTTTTTTCTTTTTCCTGTTGTTCTTTCGAATCCACGATAGTCAAGTTAATATAACTTTCGTCAATCGGAAAAGACTCAGCCGGATTTATTAAGCGTTCTATACGACTGTTTTGTTTGTAATGCAACTTAATCAATTCAAACAGATAAATTGGCTCTTCGATTGGTTGTATTCGTCGATTTTGCTTTTCTGCGATTTGGCCCTCTATTTGATCAATTAATTCCATCACCTTGGCATCGATATTAGATTCAGTGATGTGTTGGAAGTCTATGCATGTGAGTGTCGTAGTAATCGATTCCAACCAACCCGAAGGCTTCCAAGCAGTTGTACTAGTGAGCATACAAGGAATGATTGGTTTCTGTCGCTTTTGTGCATATTGTAATTCACTTTGGCAGCTCAAGGATTGTTCATAGTCCGACGTCAGAAAACAGCAGGCAGCTGCAGCGTTTTCGACTCCATTAGCCAGGCTACGTAAGAAACACTATCGATATTCAAGGCAAATCGAAATAATAGCAACGTTCGATAGAAATACCTTTCATACATATCATTTTTCATGTCACTGTTACTATCAAACCACACTGGAATATTTTCGCCTTTGAGAATATCCGCGATTTTTGACACGATATCTTGATTGATCGAAGTGTAAGACAACATGACATGTTTTCCTTGCGAAATTTTAGGGCTAAAATATCCGAATCTTATAGTACTAAGTGCACTGATGACTTGAAGTGATTGGGATAAGTTCTATCATAACTTTGATAAGACAATGAAAAAGTTACTGAAAACGGTAGTAGACTGAAATCTAACAATAGAAGCACATGCCATAAACAAAACATCTTCCATTTGTAATNAAAAGACTCAGCTGGATTCATTAAGCGTTCTATACGACTATTTTGTTTGTAATGCCACTTAATCAATTCAAACAGATAACTTGGCTCTTCGATTGGTTGTATTTGTCGATTTTGCTTTTCTGCGATTTGGTCCTCTATTTGATCAATTAATTCCATCACCTTGGCATCGATATTAGTAGATTCAGATACATTGTGAAAATCGACGAACACGAATCCTCGGGTTATTTGTTCTAGCCAACCCGAAGGGTTCCAAGTATCTGCATTACTGAGCATGCATGGAATGATTAGTTTCTGTCGCTTTTGTGCATATTGTAATTCACTTTGGCAGCTCAAGGATTGTTCATAGTCCGACGTCAGAAAACAGCAGACAGCTACAGCATTTTCAACTCCATTAGCCAGACTACGTAGGAAACACAATCAATATACAGTTTGAATCGATTTAGTAGCACTGTTTGATAAAAATACCTTTCATACATATCAGTTTTCATGTCACCGTTACCATCAAACCACACTGGAATATTTTCGCCTTTGAGAATATTCACGATGTTCGACACGATATCTTGATTGATCGAAGTGTAAGACAACATGACATGTTTTCCTTGCGAAATTTTAGGGCTAAAATATCCGAATCTTATAGTACTAAGTGCACTGATGACTTGAAATGATTGAAATAGGTTCTACCGTCCTTTTCAATCTGACAACAACAGTACATGTCATAAACAAAACATCTTCCATTTGTAATTGTATGAAACGATACGCATTTTGTATAGGCGCTGTTATTATACGTACGTCTGATTTTGTGCATTATTTTGCCTCGCTGCTATTGAAACCTATTCATTATTCCAATGAAATTCATATTTTTAGCTCTCTGCAGTTTTCAATAGTAGAGAAGGCAATAGTTTGAAGGAAACTGACCGCATCACTGCCGTCTAACAAATTACATGTCGATCAATAACATGGCATCCTCGTAGCACTTGATTAGAAATGCACTAAGTCGCAAAATTTCCAAATCCAGTCATAAAGTCAAATGTTTATGTCGAATTATAAAATGCTATTTGCATTAGATGATAAAATAGAACATGCTGAATGACAACATTCTTTGTCTAGTTTTGTCCCGATCGTATATGCAAGTTTAGAATGATTTTTAGTTGTATTTTGAGAGTATATCGACTTTATTTGGCGATAAGATACCTGAAATTTTTCTAACAAAATCAATATTTCATTTGAAAGAAACATTGATTGCTCAATTAAGAAGTTTTTGTTTTGGCCAAAAGTGTTGAAGTTATATGATTGCCTCTTTTTATAGAACGAGATATGACGCAGACATTGTAGGCAATAATAATCTCACTATTGACATATTATTTTATTAATATCATTTCTTCTAAAACTTTATTATTGATCAGTACCCAGGTCGATCGTTCCGGACACCGGATACTGTAGGATCCGTCCGGAAAGATGCGGAAAAATCTACGTATCCCGTAGGAAAACACGAAAAGTAGCTGGAACCTGGAAGCACTATTCCGGCCGGAGAATTTTCGGAGTTTTTCCTTATGATTCTCTGACGGATCCTGCCGGAAAGCACTGGAAGTTGACCGAAATCCACCGGAAAAAAGACGAGAATTTCCAGCCGGAATACTGCTTCCACCTTCCAGCGATTTCCCGTGCTTTCCGGTCGTTTCCCGCCGTACCGCTACGACCTGGGTAAATGCATTATGAAAAGCACTATGAAAATCAATAATATTTCTTATGTGTCATCGATTACGAGATTGAAGCATTTTTAGCATCATCTGTAATTCGCAGAATGTCACTTTTCTACAGGGCTACTGAACATTATTGTAAAAGATCTACTCGTATCGTGATTACAACTAGACATGCACTGAGCCCGAACTTCCCGGATTCGGTCACTCCCGGGTCCCCGGAAACCTCGGGGTTCGGTCCTTCCGGGATAAAGGTTGAAGAAGTTAAATTGGGGTCGGGGAATCCGAATCCGTTATCAGATTTTCAAAGTTTTGAACTTTGTTTTTCCGACGAAGGAAGTGATTTTTTGAGAAAAGCTTGATGTTTTATAAAGGTTGACGAGAGCAAATCGGGGTCGGGGAATCTGAATCGGAGGTTTGTTTTAACCAATTAATAATTAATAATTAATAATTAATAATTAATAATAATTAATGATAATAAATAATTAATTGATTAAAACAAACTTCATCTTCGGATTTCCCGACCCCGATTTACTTCCCTTGATCTTTATCTCGGAATGACCGAACCCGGGAATCCCGGTCGGCTCACGGGTTCGGTGCATGTCTAATTACAACAATTTAGCTAAATTTTGAGAGCAATTTATGCCTGAATACGCTATGCTTGCTGGATTCATTTTTAAATGAACTGGAGACAAATATACTATGCACTTAGTGAGTTTCAATGACTACAACAGAGGAAAAATACAAAAAAAATTCTTAATTCCAACTCGTGTCAATTTCTCATCAATGAGACTCAATACACGCTCAAGCTATGTCTTAGACCATAAGCTTCAGACTGCTTCATAAATAGCGCATTACTTCGTCAAACTTCGCAGCATGTTTTACATAGACTTACCATTCTTCCAAATCTACGATGGAGAGGCCATTCGTGTCAGATCGTGCGCCCTTAACACGCAACAATGTTCCAGGCATAAGAACGATTTCTTCTTCTTTTGGAAACGCTGAATACTGAGCAATGTTTCTACCATAAATAGCATCAATACAGAATAGAGTGCCCCTCTGGTCTGCAAACACCCCAGCAACATTGAGATGTAATGTGCATGAAGTCACACTCCACCAAGTGTGTACATCACGCTCTTTGAAGTTCGAATTCGTTATGTCTGCTACACCTCGCCATAGTTTAATCTGACATGGTGGCAATTTTTGAAGAGCGATCATGAACAATTTTAAGAAAGGAAACCACGGTTTTAATGCATCTGGATACTCAAGTCGAAGTACATCGTTCAACCTTTCGAAGAAAAGTTTTTCCTTTGTATAAAGATAGATTGCTGCTGATTCATTTCTTGACAGTGGAGGATCATTTTTGCAGTTTTTCTTAGCTTGAGCAGCATAACCCTCGACACCAGGTACGAATGAAACAAGATCTTTCACAGCTTCTTCTAATGGCACCAAAGGCTGCCGACGGTAGTCAGATATTGGATTGTAGTATACTGGATGAGATTCAGGAAGATAACTTGCCACAAAGCGATAACTCCTTGTACACGACATTTTTTTATCAGTTGATTACCACTACTTTCTAATTATTAGTCGAGACAATACGATATATAAGTCGAAATCTTAAATATCAAATACAGATATCAATAAGATTGTATTCATCAAAAGCATTCACACTTCAATACACACGATGTCCCACAAGCCATGGCCACTTAAAAAATGCATATAACTCCCCTAGTAATCAAAATTAATCGAAAAAATTTTATCGATTCAAAAGAGGAGAATAGTTAGATTTTAGGGTGTGAATGTGTGGGATTTAGTCTTGTCTTTATCCACACCCACACCCACACGCTCAACGAAGTTAATTTAAATGAATTCCCAAAATCTGAATATTGATCACTATACGAAAGTTTTTATAAGGCTGGAATCGAGGGATACATCTACTCTTCAATATGTGAGACTTAACTCTTGTGATGAATGCAAAAGAGGTTTGCCAACATTGAAACCATAATCGAATTTGATTACTTTCTTGGATATCAAATCCTTATGGTTCTAGTTTTAGGTTTCGGCTCAGTTCAAATGTTAGTTTCGATCAAATTTATTGAATTTTATTTTTTATGTCGATATGGCCGGATTCATGGAGAATCAACGAATCGTTTTACAAGTCATTTTCAAAAAAAAACTAATTGTCAGTCATGAAAAACTCAAAACTATCATCAAAATATAAAAAGTGATATTATTTAGTTGAACCTTTTTACTAATCGAAAAAAAAAAGAATTCTATTTTCATGCATCACCGTATTTAGAAGAGGAGCAGCCATGCACTTTTTGTCAAGAAAATTACCCTTAACAACTTTTGTTTGTCACGTAACAGTGACATTCTTGCACACTGATAAAAAAAGCGCCGAATGATAAACGTTTAAAGCGTTTATGAAAGTGCAACGTATGATATAGCCTTTTATCTACCCATCAAAAGACGAAATAAAAAGGTTTATCATAGCGTTTATACGACTGAACAACTTTAAAAGGGTGTATCATACGCTGCATTTTCATAAACCCTATGGAAGGTGTTAGAGAGTACTCTAACAAGTTATTTATTTATTTATTCTTATTTATTCTTATTTATTCCTGTTTCGGCTTTATACGTTATGTATTTCTTATATGTGCAGTCCAACTCGAGATGAACATACACCAACCGCTCTTTTTCATTTTTTCTTTCCTCTCTATGCATATCTCTCTTTTGTGTCTTCTGTCCTCCCGTGCGTGACGACGTAAATAATGGCATCGTTCCTTCGACTGAAATTTAAGTGCATTTATGGAATGATGCACCATCATCTTTAGATACAAAATAGTCTAGTTGAAGAAGCAAATGCCTTTTCTTCTTGTGTTTCTTTTCTCTCTCTCTCTCTTGTGTGTGTGAGTTGTATAGTATAAATAGGAAAAAAAAGAATAATAAAGAGAAGATTCAGATTCAGATTAGGAATCGAAAAATAGGAAATTTGTTGCTGATTGGTTAAATAGAAACATAAATTTCTATTTTGTGAATTGATTTAAGTTACAGCGGGCCTCTGTAACACTTTATATATCAGTTTTTTCAATATCTTCATATAAAACACAAAAATGCATGTTTATCTTTCCTCATTTTTGCTGACATTATTATATACACTGCTATATTGTAAAAATCAAACACATGGGTAATGTAAAAATATCGATGATCGAATAAGACTACTTACCAGCCGATGTCAAAATGCTTATTTTTTAATGCGAGTCTACAAAAGGTATTACTTTGTATATATATAGGTATTAAATATTTTTTCTTTTCTTCTAACATAAAATGTTTACCTGAGTCAATGAAGTGTGACTCTAATTTCGCTAATTACATCATACATAACATAATGATGAATAGGTTGAGAACAAAAAAACAAAAAAACACAAAAAGAAAGAAGAAAAAAAATTAAAACCATGAATCTAAATAGAAAAAAACATAGTTATTAGAAAGAAAAAATTACCTAAAGAGTAATATTGGCTGCGACATTTTTTAAGAATTGATCCATTTGAGATGCGTCGAATGCATTGACCAGCCGAGTAAGACGTTCGTCCAATTTTCGATAGCAGGCCTTCTTTGTCTTGATATCATGACCTTGGAGAATCTTCTGCATGTCCACTTCGAATTTTGATTGTTCACGACGAATTTTTTCAGCCAGCTTCACGATGTTTGGATGATTGATTGCGACACGAGTTGCGAATGCATTGTGCCAGCCTTCCACGGAATTGTTGGAACGAGGTACAGCAGCGATGACACGATCATAAACATTCCATAGTTTATGATCAAATTGAGGTTTCGTTCGACCAGTACCTTAGAAATTTGAGTATATTTCAAATATTTCAAAAATGAAGAAAAAAATTACCTCTTCTTTTTTTTNTCGATTATGACATCGAAGAATCAATTTCGTCGTTGTTGTACGTTCTACGGTGTAGATGAAACCTTCGTAGAGAAGCATTGATTTTCCTTTTTCAGTAGTAAGTTTTTCGATTTGAGACATTTTGTTTGAGCGTAGTTCGTATTGAACAATGTGAGTGAGAAATGAAATGTATTTTTTTATATCATTGGATCTCATAACTAAGACCATTGAATCAATGTTATCGTTAGTCTAGATTATGTTGAAATTCATTAACTGAGTTACAATTCTAATTATTCTTCACTTGTTTTAGCTCTATCACAGTATTTTTGATTAGTTTTTTTATCCGCTTTTCCAATTAAACAGTCATTTGCTTTAGAAAAATCAATTATCTATCGTTATTGTACATATCTTACAATTACTCATTTATTTTATTTTATTTTTATTGGTTGCATAAAAAAAAAGAATTAATTAAGAGAGATGGGAGAAACATAGCGAACAACAGAACGGAAAGAATTTATCTGCGACGACAGAACGAAAAAAAATATGCGACGAACAGAACGCGACAAATTGTTCTGCGACGAATTGATCGCGACGAATTGTCGTGCGACGAATTGTACTAGTACCGTCCTGGTGGGTGGCAGGACAGGACAAAAATTCTAACCTTGTCCTGTAGTACAGGACAGGACACCAAGACCGTCCTGTTTTGTATTCATCATGGATGTGATAACAGCAATATTTGTCATTTTTACTGCCAGTAATCCAAGCCTAGGTTAATTAATTTTCTACATTGTAGCCAGTATATTTCATATAATTTCAAATACAAAAACTGAATTTTTTAGTAAACAATAACATCTTAAATAAAAAAAAAGAGGAAACAACCTTGAGTTACTATTTTTATGACACCCTCATTACTGGAAATAAAAATTACAAATAATCTAGGATTCTAGCAATATTATCTTCACATATAAAGAATGATACTATAAAAGAAGAATATGAAAAAATATTTGATACAATAAGTATGATACAAATCAGAACGCATACTGAGCCAAATATTCCCAAAAAACATGTATACCCGTATCAGAGCTGAACACAGGACAAATTTTTCTGCCCTGTCCTGATACCCTGGTCCGTCCTGACGGGCGGCAGGACAGGACGCTAGGACAGCAGGGCTGTCCTGTCCTGTGCTCAGCTCTGATACTGAATCAGCAAATATTGACAATCATGCTACGACCTGTTCGATGGCTTCGTAGATCGAAATTGTTAGACATTGTTATTCAAAGTAACCGGCAACCGTGCTTTAACATTCTATGAAATATACTATACACTAAAAAGGTCGCTGATGTGACTTTCTCTGGCAGTATGAGTGCGTATCTTCTCATCTCTTCAGATACACCCACCACACCCTAAGTATTGAAGATCATTGTTTGTCTTTCATCATGAGAGTTTCATGATTCTCCATGTATTTCTCTATAGATAACTGTCATCAAATAGGAATTCAAATTTGCAAAATTAATTGGCATCACTCCACAAATAACTTAATGATGACCGCTTTCATGTACTTCCAGAATTCTAATTCAGTTTTTTGCTATTCTTGAACATTATCTTGATTATTTTTCATTTATCTATAATAAAAAAAAGAACAACATGTTGTCAACAAGGCGTATGTATTAATGACTAGGACAACTTTCATAAGGTTCTGTTAATTTCGTGCATATTTCAGAATGGCGTTTTTTGAAGATTGTGCAAACACAAAAAATTATTTTCTTGTGTACTGAATTTCAATCAAATAAGATATTTTTTACGTTCCCATTTTTATGCTGATTAATAACTTTTACATTCAATTTTTCTTCAGATATAATCTAAAACTAATGTTGCATTGTTTAGAAGCAGAAACTATTTTCGTCTCTCCATCGACTGCATATGACTATAGTTAGAGACCATTCTAGAGCATGAAACATTTTGTGCACATAACTAATTCCATGGGATTCGTAAGAAAACTTTCATCGCTGTTTATATTAAAATATGATACTGATTGTGGACATGACTTTATGGCGATTTTTTTGTTCGCTTGTTGCCTTCTATATGCATACTCTCACGAGCTTCATACCAACTTCGACTCCTGCATTACTTGCTAATCTTAGTTGAAAAAAAACCTTGTTCCATAGGATAACTTTTCTGCAACAAAATCAAACCTTTTGTAAAGTTTCATAGTCACTAAAATGCTCTGGAAAATGGTAATAAAGAGGTTAGGAAATTTTCTATCAGATTTTCAGAAGGTTTAAATTTTGTTGCAGAATTCGAAACATTTTTTAAGCTTCGAAAAGCGTAGAAAGCTTCAAGTTCTGTATCTTCCACTGAGTTGATTTTGAAATGTAACGGGACACACTTTGCTTCGACTAAAAATGCAAGCAAGCGAAATGATAGCGGACGCAATCTTTGAGGGTGTCTGGAAGACAATTATCATCCACACCATCACATTGCCGTCGAACCTTCAGCTGGCGTATTCAAGTTCATTTCTTGATATTATTATTGCGTTATCTGTCAATATTCTGTTACCCGACTAAATTGAAGAACACCAGTTGGTAGCGTACTCTATTGATACGAGAGTCTTTATCTTACGAGAAAGAAAGCAAAAAACAAACTCCGAAGCCACGTGTTTACTCTAGCAGTCAATTCAATTCTTGACGCATATTTTGTGATCGTGATACTGCCAATGGCTAATCAAAGGTAACCAAAATGCTGCATGTTGATGCGTTCCAATCCATCACAAATCAGAAATGTAGGAGATGGAACTGTGATTTTGTTTCTTGTCCTCACTGGAAAGACATATATAGAGATGCACGAATATGATCCATATAGTAGTTATAATTGAATAGTTCTGTGTACTGCTCCAGTATCCTAAATTCATGGGTTTGTAACATAATGAAAACATCGAGATAGCTTGTTTACCTCATCGTGCGAATCCATACTGATTTGTAAGTCAGAGATGCCCATGGGGATGATAGTGAAATTTCATCGTCGATCGACATCTCTGTTATAAGCAATGAAAGATGACCAACCTCAGTAGATAACATTTGATCTTACTCAATTGTGACATCTAATTTTTAGTGGATCAATTGAACCGAATATCGTTGAAAGTCCAATTACAATTGAAATGAAAAATAATGATAGCAAAGAACAATGTATCGATCCACTACTAGAACAAACAGTTGAAGTGTCTCCATCAATCTTACAGCGTTTTGAAGGAATACTTTATGCATTGTTGGCAGCATTTCTTTTCACAACTACAGTATTTATAACAAAACAATTAAAAGTCGAATTAATTGATGCAGTAGTGCTCCGTTTTCTGCTTCAAACTCTTATGTTGATTATCTATATAAAATTAAGAAAAAATTATTCACTATTTAAACAATCGACAAGGCGTGAAACATCTTTTCTATTGATCAATGCAATTTCTGCTACAGCTGGTTTTTTTGCTTTTTTTCTTGGTTCTCATTATTTACCATTACCAGATTTAACAACGATACGTTACACACAAATCATTTGGACAACAATTATAGCAGCAATTATATATTGTGAAAAACCATCTATACCAATAATATTAGCAGTTTTATTAACAACTGTTGGCGTCGTATTTGTAGCGCAACCAAAGTTTCTATTTGAAAAAATATCTAATACAAGCAAAAACGAAATTGCAAAAGATCATCATCAACATTTAGTAGGTTTATTTATTGCATTATTTTCTTCTATAGCCATGTCCATAACTTTATTATCAAATAAATATTTACTATTAAAATATAAAACAAAACATAGCATAATTGTGTGTCAATTTACATTTCTATCGTTTTGCGCAGTAGCTATTCGTTTATTTTATAAATATTATTTTCTTACCGACAGAATTCAATGTTTAAAACGAGATTTTATTAATTGGAGATATCTCTGTGCTTCATTAGTTTGCTTATTACAAATCATTGCATCAATATTAATACAAAAAGCAGTGAAACGTGAACATCCATCGATATTTACAATTGTCCAATCCAGTGATATTTTATTTTCTATTCTATTACAAAATATTTTTTCATCGATGAAATCAAATCTTTTATCTATAGTTGGATCGATTCTGGTTCTGGCAAGTATATTAATTATCAGTGGATATAAACTTATTACTGAAATAAAAGACAAAAAAAATTCAGTTCCAACAATAACGATTGAGTAGCTTCGCTGTTTAAATCTTTCTGTTCAAAATAAAATGATACATCTAGCTTTCGAGTAATGGGACAGCCTCTTTACACCGAGTCGCTAAATATCCAATTACATTACTCTAGCAACCATTCAACAACTATTGAAAATAATAACTCGCCAAGTGGCGGCAACTATTTTCGATGGTTACCACGTTTGTTAAAGAGGTCGTTGCCTCTACAAGTTGTAAAGCAATGGCAATAGGAAAAGAAAAACTTGTAACTAATAGTTATATTCATATTAAATTGTTGCGCATTGTTTTATCAACATGTCCGAAGAAGAATCTGAACATGACGAAGCTGAGGAAGTCGAAGCAGAAAATAAATCAGGTTTTTATTGATTATTTTTTTGAATGTGGTGTAAATAAATCATATTTAAGAGCATGAAGGCGATGACGAAGAAGCGAAATCTGAACATACTGAAGATGAAGCTGAAGAAGAAGTATGAAAATTCTTTGCATTTATTTTTTGTAAATTCATCTTCGTATTTAGGCACGTGAAGAAGTACAATTAACTGATGAAATTATCGCACAATCGCTTTCACTGCTGGCAAAAACGGGGAATGGGTTGGCGCATGCGTATACTCGTATGGAAGCCTCAAATCGGTAATTCTCTGCTATGAGTTCGTTTATGCGTAGCATTTCATGATAAAATGTACCTAGCGAAGGGATACTCTCAGTAGGGTATCCGATTCAGATCCTGTGAAGCATCGATAGTATCATATGTCGAATGCATTTAATTTTGTTTTCTAGGAACTTAACGGATATAGTACGTCTTGAACCATTTATTCATTTACGTTTTATTGATTTATCAAACAATCGTCTCCGAACAGTAAATTCATTAAATCGATTAAAATTCTTATTAACACTCAAACTTGATTCAAATGAATTATCAACATTTGATTTACCACAATTTCCTTATTTACAAACACTTAGTTTAAGTAATAATCGTATACGATCGGTTACTGGCATCGAACAACCGCGCTTAGAAATATTGAATCTTAATCGTACGAATTTTTTTCTTATCCCACGAAAATCAACTTCTCCTTTTCTATTCTTTAGATAATCAAATCGATGCTTGTGCGGGCCTTGAACAAAGTAAATTACCGAATTTAATTACACTTGAAATGCGTGAAAATCGTCTAACAACAACAAAAGGCATATCATTACCTAATTTAAAAAATATATTTCTTGTATATATCCCTATAGAATTGAACGTCTCATTGCTGTTTTTTTATTCGAATCTATTTAGGCAGCTAATAATTTGACTCAACTTGAAGATTTAAATGCATTAAGCCGGTTAACAACGCTTCATTTACGTGATAATAAACTCGAAGTATTAAATGGTTTTAGTGAAAATATGAAACAATTGCAATATGTCAATTTACGGTATAGGAAAAAGTCTTTTTTTTTAATAAATGTTGAATTCGTTTTTTCAGTGCGAACAATGTTTCTGATCCAGAGGAACTTAAAAAGATGGCCGTATTACCATTGTTAAGAGCACTCGTTTTGTTAGGTAAAATACCAAAAAAAGTAAATCTGTTAGAATAAATTTTTTATACCATAGAAACACCTCTATCTGAAACTGATTCATATCGAATGGAAGTATTAGTTGCTCTTGATAAACTTGAACGGTAGATTCTTTTCTTTTTTTTTCTTTTTATAAATTCGATTTTTATGCAATTCGATTAGTTTGGATAAAGATCAATTTAACGAAGATGAAAAACATGATGCGCAAGAAGAACAAAAACGGCGAGCTGAAGAAAATCGAGAAGTATGAATATATTTAAAAGATCGTTTCTTTTAATCATATACTCGTTTATTTCATTTAGGCAGCAGCTGGAGCTAGTTCAAAATTAGAAGGTGGCCCTGATGATGAACCTTAAATTTCCTTCTTCTTCGTTTATTATTATTTGTGTGTAGTATGACAACAAGAAGTTTTCTTTCTTTCATTTTTTTACATCCAAATAAATCATTTGTTACAACAATGCATCCCATTGACATTAACAATTTGATTTTATATTTTTATCTGTCAATAATTTTTTTTTTTTGTAAAAGGAACTTCATCAAAACGATTTAAATAACATACGAAATTAAAAATAAATATCGGAAATAATTATTAAATCGACCTAAACAAATAGTTATTCACCTTCATCGACAAATTACGTCATGTTTAGATAAATCTATTGATTAGCCTTGGACTGACTATGCATATATACACATATTAGGAAATGAACTACGACACATGCTCATATAGACTTTCTAAGAATTTAATATTGTTGAGTCAATCAATCATTTGACTGAATAAAAGAAATAGAATAAGACAAGGAACTAACGTGATGGTACAAATGTGACTACTTAGATGATTAGACAAAAAGAAAAGACCACGCCCGCATACAGAACGAGTACAGTAATTTTTCAATAAGTCAAGATGAAAAGCATCATCACTGAGAAGAGCTCAATTTTACTATAACCGATAATAATGCGCATTTGTCTCAAGATGCAGTTAAAAGAAAACTTGATAGAAAATAATAACGAACATTCAATGTCAATCTGTAAGTAGGTGGCAAGATGTTCGAATTTGCTTTTATGTTCATATACAAAAAAAAAAGAAAAATCGATTTCGTAATCCGTAACCTTTACATATAAATACGGGTTCATATATAGATATTTGCTGTGTGCAGAACAATCAAAAAAAAGTAAATCTACCCGAAAGCGAAGAAAAAAGGATTCGATTATCGGAGCAAATCAATGATGAACAAAAAGACACCATTTTATTTGTGTTCTCTTCATGTTTATACAGTACAACAAAAAAAATAATATTGAAGTGTTATAAAGTAAGCATAATATTGTTAAAAAAAAACAATTAGGAATGAATAATAGAATATTTCTTAAGATGTGAAAGAAGAGAATTACATGATATAACAACTAATTCAAATAGTGACAACAAACTCTACCTATGCTTTTTACACTTTGATAATGTAGACAAAATATACTCTTTTATGTATGTATGATTGCTGCTCTCTTCTTCGGTAATAAGAAAATTACAGCGCAAAGTTCCCATTGAATAAAAGCAAAACAAGAAAAAAGAATGTAGTTACACAATGAGCACAAAACGTTATTAAAGAAGAAAGGCAAATACCTCCTGTAGTTCGCTCTTAATAAGAAATTGTAAATAGAACTAAGAACATAATAATAAAATCTAGTCGATGATGGATTGTTCATTGGCGGACATACATATTGGCCAATCGATCAATCAGCTTTACTAATTGTCATTCTTTATGTTGTTCCACTTGTATATCATCCATTAGCGTTGTTCGACTAGACGAAACAAGATCTATGTGATGATAGACTGGGAAAAACATAACTCGTCTTTGTTTTGTGTCTTCTCGAATTCTATTAAGAATAAGTAGAGATTGTTCAATACGACATTTTTATCAGTCATGTGTACCTTGTACGTTAAATATCTCATTAATGTGCTGATCAATTCAATCAACCCGATTGATTGACTCAGTATGAATAAGAGAAATAACATAAAAGTGATGTTATTACAAGGTCAATACAATCGTTCATATATATATTTTTTAAAAAGCATTAAGAAGAAAGAAGAAGGAAAAAACGAGTACAGCATATTTTATGCACACACACACACACACAGAGAGATCTGTATGTTTGTACAATAAGTGTGTATGATTGACAGTAGCAACTGAAATATTTGAATAGAAGAAAAAAATAAAAGAAGATCACACTCAATTTCATTTCCTTTCAATCCCGAATGGTGATATACATATATGTATAGACAAACAAAAACAGATTATCATTTCTTTTTATTTGATAAATCATTCTCGTCTGTTGTTTATAAATTTCGATTTATCTTGACCCAAAAAAAAACGGTTACAGTTTAATTTAACTGTCAACATATCCATTTACAGATGATGTCAAAGATTACTTGGCTCTTTTTCTTCTTTTGAAGAGTCGTCCTCACTAATTTTATGCATATCTCTCTTATTAAAAACGGATGCTGTCATTGTGTCATATATGTGTAATTAGAGATTCTTCATAACTGTTGAATAATAGCATCAATATCTCTTTTTTGTTTTATATTAGATTCTCCGGAAGTACTAAACATCATTTGTTTAATTCAAGGCTAAGCAGTTTTTTTTCTTGATGTTGAATTTAATGTTGAGTAGTGCTCTTTTAATTAATAGTTAGATATGTTTCTCTTCAAGATTCTAATTAGAATTCTATAATTACACAAACCCTGTTTTAAAATTATCTCTTCCTTATAACTAAGCACAAAACCTTTCAGTAGTTTTTTTTATCCTTCACTTATCGAAGTACATAGTTGAAGGGTTTATTTATTGAGTAGTTTAAATCTTGTAGCACGCTTCTTCTTCTTCTTCTTCGTTGTTAAGATGGAAAATATACTGTCACAGATGTTGTTGAAAAAAGAAAGAAATGGTCTATTCCTTTCTTTGTTGTTGAATATTGAACGATGATGAATATAGGAGAACATTTATTGCCTCTTGACTGATGCATCAGCCGTATACATGTGTATAGAGATTGCGTCATGCATATGTATATAAACGCGAAGATTTGCTATGGGAAAAGTCATAGTCCTATTCCATCGTGCCATGTGTTGACTAATACTGACAGTACCTAATACTGCACTATTTCAATGAGATTGCATTATTTCTAACTATATTACCGCAAAACTCAGGTGCGTGCTTGAATGAGTGTTGCGTTTGTCTTCTTTTTCTTTTCTCTTATAATGAGTCCATGAGTTCAGCGGACACATATTTAGAAGATAATGTCTTCTGCTGGTGAATAAATATTGAATTGAGAATGAATATAAGTATCCATATATATATATATATATATATGAAGGTTGATTGAAGCCATATACATCGACGAACTTGAGTCGAGTAGTAGGATGTCAATGATCAAAAGGACCGTCATCATCGCATAATTTCTGTATGTCTAACTTTTCAAGTAGTATTCTCTCTCGTCTTCTTTGCTACTTTGTATTATGAACTTTTTTTTAAAAATGACTAGTTGATTTTTGTTTTGCGTCAGATATTCTACTTGATTATTTTTATTGAACGGTAACAAGTGATTGAATATGCAGATAAGGGAGGAAGAGAGAGAGAGAGAGAGAGTGAAAGAGAAAGAGAGCAAGAAAAAAAGAGAACAAGAAATGAAAGAAAAAACGCGAACAAATGAGTGAATAGTCTTGAACAAGTTTGCTGTTTTTGAAGATGAAATTCATTCGAATGGAAAAAAATAATGAAGCGACAGGTAAATGCGTTTGACTCTTTTCTTTTTTTTTGTGTCATATTCTCGTCATCCGATTTGTCATACATTAGTTATAATTTTTATATCCGCGACTGATCTCAAACAACATGTACGCATTATATTCTTCATTCATTTTATGATATATATTTTGATGGTTACTTTGCACCTACATGCACAAGAAGAAGACGAAGAAAAAAAAAAGAATAGTCATTTGCACTTATGTGTATAGTCATCATCGTATGTTTCTTTTTCGGTCTAGTATGAGATCTTCTCCATCTTCGCTCGTCATTTCCACTTGTCAAACAATGTCATTATTGCAAGGTTAAAAATAGAAAGAGAGAAAAACGATGTACATATTCATGTGCCGTTTCTTTTCTTTTCTTTTTTCCATGTCGGAATTTGAATAAGAGCAGGATACATTAAGTGAATACAGCGTATGTGTGTTAATCATTGCCTGTGTGCATGGTTAAATTTCGAGTATTGTATACGATTATGAATAATGTTCAAAACTCATTCTTAAGTAGAAAAAAGGGAGTAATGCACATATGTTTATGTTTCTGACTGCTTCATATATATGTAGAGATTCAAAGTGACCAGTACAATTCGAGCATGTGTACATTGAATTAGATATGCTTCTTCACTCTTTTAACAAACAACATGATCGATGGACATGTCAGACTTCTGTACGATTAGCATTTATTTAGCACCTGTTCTAAGACTAAGGTGTACAAATACTTGATCAAAATGCCGCTCATTTATACGCTTCTAATAGCTCGTTGTGATAGAAGAATATTAATTTTGTTTTGTTTTTAAGATAATTAATAGAAGAATGTTTAAACTATCTTTATATTTAATTTTACTTATACTATTTCCATGTATTTCTTGTGATCTTATTGAATTATCGGATATAATTATACGTGAACATACACCGATCGGTCATCTATTAGTAAAACTTAATGCATCAACACAACAACGACATTCGTATCGATTTGTTAATAATAATTATCGTGACATTCAACAATATTTTTCACTGAATTCGAGCACAGGTGAATTACATATTGCTAATGACATTGATCGTGAATTAATTTGTACGCATCGACATAGCCAATGTAGATTTTTATTAAAAATTTTTGAATTATTTCACGAAAAACTTTATCATATACCAATTTTAATTGAAGATGTCAATGATCATCACCCGACATTTCCTTATAGTTCATCGGAAATTGAATTACATATATCAGAAAATTCGCCACCTTATCAATCGAAACTTTTCATTCAACAAGCTTATGATCAAGATCAAATCGATAATGAAAATCGATTAAAATATAAATTAAAAAATTTCGATGAAAATTTTCCATTTATGCTCGAAATTAATGATGATTTATCAAACCGTTTAGTTCTCATACTTACCGAAGGACTTGACCGAGAAACAATTGATTCATACAATTGTACATTATATGTCACTGATACAGGTGGACATCATGCACAACTCCAGGTTAAAATTATTATTGACGATGTCAATGATCAATCGCCCATGTAAGTTATCGACAATTTGAAAGCTAAGCAAATATTTGTGTGTTTTTCACGGTTCATTAGAGCTTGTCCATTTACCTTGTTAACATATTGTTTTTGACAAATAGGATTGACCTTTTGTTGTCATCAGACTGGTTTCAAACTCAAATCACAATTTTATAAGCATAGAGACATTCGGAAGTAGTGTTCTCGCCTTACTTAGAGCTCAGTAACATTGTCGAAGGTCATGAAATTAAGGACACTTTTCCGTAGAAATGTTTTATATTTAATACGAATCGCCTTTCTCAAATCTCTAGCGGATAACACCACAAGTTATTCTTTTGAGAAAGCGAGAAAGATACTTAAAATAAGATTAATTTACTCATAAACCAAAGCATGTATTCAAATCGTTCGATTAACTTTTTATTTCTTTTACTCTTTATTTAGTTTTGAGAGAGATATTTATTCTATTGAACTATCGGAACATACGTCAATAAATACGATAATTCTTCAAGTTCGTGCCTATGATGGCGATATAGGTTTAAATGGACAAATTACCTATAAATTTACTGACGCATCAAAACAATACGATAATCTATTTTCAATCAATAATGAAACAGGTTTTATTCGACTCCGTTCGTTACTTGATTATGAACAACGAACATCCTACGTGTTTTATATTGAAGCTCATGATTCCGGAAAAGAAATTCGTTCATCACAAACACTCATCAACATAACGATATTAGATGAAAATGATTGCTATCCAATAATAAATTTTCGTTTTCTACCCGAAATGAACTCCAATCAATCCGATGATCTTATTGAAATCTCTGAAAATTATTCGATAGATAAATTTTTTGTAAAAGTTTTCATTACCGATCAAGATAGTTCACACAGTGGACGCATGAAATTATGGTTTGAAATTCTTGATAGTTACAATAAACATTTTCAAGAATTTAATATATTTCAAATAGATGATTTAACATACTATCTTAATTGCACAAAATCTTTTGATTATGAATATCAACAATGGTATCGTTTGACATTTTTTGCCGAAGATATTAATTTAAATAAAACGTTACAAACAAATAGAACTTTAACAATTCATATACTCGATGAAAATGATAATATTCCACAATTTCTACAACCGTTTTATCATTTATCAATCTATGAAAATAATCAAGCTGATATAATCTTAACTAAAATTGAAACATTCGATCACGACGATGGCGATAATGGCCGTTTAACCTATGAAATAGTAACCAACGAAAGTTCATTTCCATTTTCAATCGATTCAACGACAGGTATTCTTCGTTGTACGGAATCATTTGATCGTGAAAAACGATCGGAATATAAATTCGAAATACTTGTTCGTGATTATGGTTCTCCGATGAGTTTATCGTCGAAAGTTTCGATTAAAATTGATATTAAAGATGTCAACGATAATAAACCAGTGTTTGAATATGATAAATATGAATTTTCTATAGACGAAAATTTTCCACAATTGAAATCCTTTGGTCTTATACGTGCCTATGACAATGATTTAAATACAAATTTTATTTATTATATTGAAGATGAAGATAAATTTATAATAAATCAATATGGTGAAATTTTTCTACAAAGTTCTATTGATCGAGAAATTCAAGATAAATATCAATTTATTGTTACAGTTTCTGATAATTATTTTCAAACATCTGTACCAGTTTTTATTCATCTATTAGATATTAACGATTGTCAACCACAATGGACAAATCCTTTTAAAAATCACACAAAATTATTTATCAATCGAGATGTTATTACGATTGGCACAATGATTATTAAATTGAAAGCTGTTGATCAAGATGATGTCACCAATGGAAACGGCTTAGTTCGATATTTTATGAATGAAAATTATAGTTTTTTAAGTTTACTCAATAGTGGAGAGTTAATATTAAATAGTTCACCTCGAGTTGGCCATTATTTATTAAATATAGCAGCAGAAGATAGTGGAAAATTAATTCAATATTCATCGTCGATCGATATTGAGTTATTTGTTGGAGATAATTATACGAACACAAGTCAATTTTATGATAGATTTTATAAAATCAATTCATTATCAACTACAAAACGTGTGATATTATTGGCGACATTTTTTCTATCGATTATTTTTATTCTTACATTTACTATTTGTATTGTATCAATTATGGTATGTCGATATCGAAAACAGAAGTATCTATATTATGTTCAATATAATAAAAATCAAGTAAATAACACAAAATTAGCTACTGTGCACAATCATCTTACAGATTCAAGTTCAGATTCTTCAAAATTAAGTTTGGTACGTCATACAATTGAAAAGAATTTAAAACCCTAAATCTTCTCAGATCATTTTAGAACACTTATGAAGAAAATTTTCCATCAAGGAGATAGCCAGGTCACCGAGGTCGAAATACATCTGAAAGAATGTTTCTACGTAAAGATATGAGACGCTACTTCGGCAACTTGAAATTCTTTTGGTTTCATTTCATCTCCTTCCATTAGAATGAAAAGATGGAAGTACTTTCAGTACTTCTCTAAATGCATGTTTTGTTTTAACTGTAGCCTTTCTTTTTATGAATCCTGACAAAAATCAATGATATACACTTTCTAGTACAAATATACAGTTTCAAATGATTAGATGTGCACTGGTTTCTTTATTTCAAAATTGCTCTTAAAAAAAAGAAAGCGAAAGCTTGCCTTTCTCGAAAGAGAATTTTTTTCGACTCTCCTACCTATGCTTTCAGCGCTGTAATAAATTTAATAGAGCAGATAATAAATACGAAATCATCTGACTCTTCGAAAATTTTCAACTAATCGAGAAAAAACACCTGCGAAGATGCTGTTCGTACAATTTTGATTATACTGCAATCTACTTGATTTTCTTTTTTCTTCGCTAGGAGGATGTTCATGGAAAACATCTTATCGATCATTCATCGTCGCCATCCATCACAGGTAACTGATTGTGCATAGATCTCATTGAATATTGAAATCTTTTACAAGAAACGAATAGTTATTTTTCAATTTCTCAATGAAAATATGTACTGTTGAATACTTAAGATGTAGCTTATCGATCTATTGAGAAAACTAATATTCTATTTTGAAGGGTTATTCTTCACGAATCCTTATCGTCGTTAATGAGTTAACGATGGAGTATCGATCTTCCTTTGTAATATGCCGCTCGATATTGTATAGAGAAGAGATCAATCAAGAAAAATAACTTATGTTGTTTATTGTCTTCTGTTCTATACAGGTGCAAATATGTATACTCACCATCATCAAATAATAAAGCCGACACACGCAACAAGTGATTATTATAGTAATAGTAGCAAACATGATGAAGGTTAAATAGTTTTTTTTCTGTATCTTTCCTCTATGAATAAAGATTTTTTTCCTGTTATATCGTAGATACGGACGAATTGACTGATGAACAACCGCCAACGTTCTTGAATAATGCTGAATGGTCAATTGAAAAAATTCTCTATCCTGACTGGCTATACAATGATGCACTAATGGACTCCAAAAGACATTGGAATACATCAACGTTCGCTCATTCAAATTCTTTTCAAGCATTAGAAAAAAATGAAAGCGTAAGAAGCAGATCGACTATGGAAAAACGTACGATATCAACGAACAGTTCACCATCACCAAAACAAGTTCGGTTTGGTTCTCAAAGACAACTACGTACATATCCACATTTAAGTACGACTGTTCAACAGTTAAGAACACGAACTGCAACAACAACTATTTCAGATAATGATATTCACAATTCATTTATCTAATTGTACTATGATGTTTTGTTTATATATAAATATATACGTATATGTATGTGTGTATGTTTTCGTTGTTCTCTATGAATTGGATTTTGTGTTTTTCTTTTCGGTACATTTTTTTATATTCGGTGTCTATTCGGAGTTTTTCTTTTACATTTGCATTATGACGAGAGAAAATAATTTGAAGTACAGAAACAACTACATTTGCATAGATGAATACGTTCATCCAATGGATAATTTTCGAATGGAGTTAAACATATGGACTAAGTCTTTGCTCAGAATTTCTAGATAATATTAAATTTAAAAATTTTGTTTCCGCACTTGATCGTATCTCACGAAAACCAGTAAAAAGAGAATATTTTATTGTGTCCGATGTAGTTAACTGAAAACTTGAGCATATATGGGATTAGGATATTTTTGTTTACATTTCTATATTTACGAGTTTCTATCTTTATTTAGTATTGTTGCAAAACTATTCTCCGAGCAATTATGCGCAATATTGGTGGTCAAGACAAGAGCGTAAGAATGTATTTTCAAGTTCACTTTATTTATTATGAATCTGTGACATTGAAATTAGAACATTTGTTCAATAGTCAAATCTCATAGAATATCGGTTTTCTTCTGATTTGTGTGGTTACACCAATATGATTTTCTCATGAGAACAATTCTTTCGAAAAACAATTGAACCTTAGTAATTTCATCTAAAAGTTCACGACTGAGATATGCACTCGAAAGAAAGGTCAATTACTTTGGATCTTTCTTTTGAAAGTCCAATAAAATGCCACTTCAATTAGCATGAAAATTTTTTAGTACAGTTTCTCTCAGATCGTGCTTTAAAAAATACGAGTTTATATACTGTATAGTTCATATTCTTTTCTTAGATGTGCCACATCCAATCAAAAGTAATCAATCCATCTATCGTCCAGAGAAAAACAATTACAACCATAGATGCATTTTATCTGTATGGTACAAAGATTTGCATCTTTAGGTACTCTTTAGCTGCCCTATGAATCTCTAAAACCTTTGAAATACACTATTGAAACATGTCAGTCTAACAAGAAAACACGATTTTCAACTCTGCGGTATTAATGAGTTGTCATGTCCAAAATTCTCATTAAATAATATTTAAATCAAGACAATAAAAATTTGTTTAATTTTGTTAATTAACCAAATTTCAAAATATTTTCAACATTTGCTCATTATTTTCGATGAACCTTTCAGTTTATTAGAAAGCACGACAGAAAAGAATTGCCTCGTTCAATATAATCGAAAATTATGTATATTGGCTTCACAGTGCATTAAGGTAAGTGTTTTTTCTCGACATAATATCTAACCACTATTTCATATTTCTACTCTTCGACCCTCAACGAAAAAACGGCAAAACAGCGATTCATCATTTCTGCCGCAACTAAAATATTGTGAAGGAAGTAAAAAACTAACATGTTTCTTCTCAAACATTTCAAGCTAACTGAAAACTAACAGATATCTTATAGAAGACGAAGAAAATAACTTGAGAGAAAGAGTATAAATAATTAAACTAACCATTAAGAAAAAAAATATACTTCGATTCAAATGAACTATCATATTTGTTAAAAGGTACACGTTAAGTAAAATACAGTATGTAAAAGAATTATTCGGACACCCTGCTACACGAATTTGTTGAGTGAATTTCTGAGTGAAGAAAATATATTTTTTAAACTCTGATTACATCATTCGATAGGTCATCATCTCTACTTTCTATTCCATAGAAAATAACTTTTCCATAACGTAGTTTTCATAAGGTTTTAGAAGATTTTCTAAGAAGCACTCGATTTTACAAGCAAAACAATTATTCGGACACTTGTATTTTTTTCGTTATAACAGCTTTGTTTTGCATCGAAACATTTTGAATTACATATCATCTGATAGAGAAAACATTTCTCTATATGCTGGTGTGTATAAAAGTTGAAAAACATGTTAAGATCATGCCAAAAGGTTCTCCATACCAAAAGCACCGTAGGTTTTACAAAAAACCATCGTATTTTGCCTTTACAAAAATGAAAACCCAACGCAAAATATATCATCTGAAAAGTTTTTGAGTGATGCAAGCTTGTAGAGAATTAAATTCTCTACAAAATGGTACGCTTGAATCCCCGATAGCTATTTTTCTTAGACACGATGTACACCTACCCATAGACATGTAATTTATTGAAAAGAAAGAAAAATATTTTTTTTTCTCGTTCTGTTGCTTTCTCTATATAATACGTATATGCGATGATAGCGAAGGATGAAACTGAGTGAAATTGAACGTGAATGGATAGGTGTACATCGTGTCTAAGGAAAATAGCTATCGGGGATTCAAGCGTACCATTTTGTAGAGAATTTAATTCTCTACAAGCTTGCATCACTCAAAAACTTTTCTACTTCAATTTAAATGTCTAAAAATTGAGAATATTCCACGTGCTGAAGAAAATATTAATCATAATAAATGATTATTACGTTTAATATTTCAGAATTTTGAAAAATAAAAGACTTATTTGGAATCAGTGTTTTTTTCTCTTTCAGATGATATATTTTGAGTTGGGTTTTCATTTTTGTGAAGCTGAAAAACGAAAGTTTTTTGTAAAACCTACGGTGCTTTCGGTATGGTGAACCTTTCGGCATGATCTTAACATGTTTTTCAACTTTTATACACACCAGCGTATAGAGAAATGCTTTCTCTATCAGATGATATGTCTAATTCAAAATGTTTCGATGCAAAACAGAGCTGTTATAACGAAAAAAATACAAGTGTCCGAATAATTGTTTTGCTTGTAAAATCGAGTGCTTCTTAGAAAATCTTCTAAAACCTTATGAAAACTACGTTATGGAAAAGTTATTTTCTATGGAATAGAAAGTAGAGATGATGACCTATCGAATGATGTAATCAGAGTTTAAAAAATATATTTCCTTCACTCAGAAATTCACTCAACAAATTCGTGTAGCAGGGTGTCCGAATAATTCTTTTACATACTGTATATTTAACTAAATTGTAATATAAAAAATAGTCAATCTTATCATCGTATTTGTATTCGATTTATTTCTCAGTTAAAATGGTCGGATGACAAAAAAAGTATTCTTATCTTTTTAATAAAAAATAATCTTCGGACTTTTAAATAAACTGTTCTTTCATCACAGGTTAGTTTTCTTTCTATCTCATAAATCGACATTTAAGTGCAAACGACTGATGCGCAGTGTACTAAAAAAATAAGTCGAGATAGCGAAATATTATTTGCTTTCTTTTCTCTTGCTTAGCGTTATGTGATCGATGGATGAATGCATGTTCTAGTTCGAGCCTTCGACACAGAACGAATATATCACGCGTTGAATGCATGATTTACACTGTGATATCTATAACCTTGAATACAAACGAAGCGCCATAGAATAACACAATCATCATCATTATATTCAATCCTGCACATCAATGACGACTACTGACGGGCATATAAATGGTCATAGTGTGCGTAAGCTTAATTTTGGAGCAGGACCTGCTCAATTACCATATGAAGTAGGATGATTTATGTTTTCGATTCTTTTATTCTTTAAAATATAATTTTCAAAGTTATTGGAAAATGTTAAGGACGAATTTTTAAATTATCATGGAGCTGGAGCTAATATTATGGGTATCGAGAATATATTCAAATATTTAGAATACCTATTGTAATATTTAGAACTAAGTCATCGTTCATCAACTTTTGCTAAAGTTATTCAAGATGCTGAACAAGATATTCGAGAGATTTTGTACGAGATTTAATTTTTTGCTCATTAATTTTGAATTAGGAAAATTCTATTTATATTTAGATCCATACCAGAGTCTTACGCAGTTCTATTTTTACAAGGTGGTGCTACAGCACAATTCAGTGCCATACCATTACATTTTCTCAATTTAAAACCATCGCAAACAGCTGATTATCTTGTAACAGGTTATTGGTCTGAAAAAGCTGCTAAAGAAGCAGAAAAATTTGGTAAAGTCAATTGGGTTGTACCTAAAGGAAGCAAATACCAAGGTAATGATAACGAAGAAAAAAAATGTTTTTTTAACAGATAATGAGAATCTGTAGCTATCTCACAGGTGTGCCAGCTGAAGCTTCATGGAAATTATCGGCCGACCCTTCGTATTTTTATTATTGTGCCAATGAAACAATTCATGGTATTGAAGTCGACGATATTCCAGCTATTATACCTAAAGATGTTCCCATTGTTTGTGATATGTCATCGAATTTTTTGACACGTCCTTTTGATATTACCAAAGTAACATAAAAACTAATCCGAATAGATAATGTTTAACGAAATATTTTATTTTAGTTTTCTGTGGTCTTTGCTAGTGCACAGAAAAATTTTGGTATCAGTGGTGTTGTTCTTGTTATTATACGAAAAGATTTGGTTGAAAAAAATACCAATAAATCAATACCACTTATATTAGAGTATAAAATACAAATCGATAACGGTTCAATGTATAATACACCACCGACATTTGCGTTAGTAATTCGATTTTTAATTTTTTTTCTGTTGAAATATTCAATTTTATCTATTTAGCATCTATATTGCGAGTAAAATGTTTGCGTGGATAAAACAACAAGGTGGTTTGAAAGCAATCAATGAACGATCGGACAAAAAATCATCACTTGTCTATCAAACAATTGAACAATCGAATGGATTTTATGTTAATTTTGTAGAAAAAAAATATCGTAGCCGTACGAACATTCCATTTCGAATTGTTACCAATGGCGTACCAGATGAAAAACTAGAAACATTATTCATTAAAGAAGGTATTCAATCAAATATGATTGAATTAAAAGGTCATCGAGCTGTTGGTGGTATTCGTGTTAGCCTTTATAATGGTATTAGCGTAGAAGAAGCCATGCAATTGGTCAACTTTATGCGTACATTTCAAACAAATAATAGTTAAATTTCAAATAAAAAAATCAAGCAAACACGTTTTTTATTTTTAAAATAAGATACAATACAAAAGGAAAATTATTTAAGAATGTGAACGATTTTTCATTGTTAAATAACGTTGTAATTCCTTAAAATAAAATAACCTCACATTATTATTATCAATTAAAATAGAACTATTCGCTTACAGCCATTTTTTGCTCTCTCATTGCATCGATTGCTGCATCAGCATACTGAGGATCACGACCATAATCTTGTGTCAATGATGGGTCTCGTTGTTCAGCCTTAAGAAAAAAATGACAAGCGGTGATTTATTTTTTTAATTTAATTTTTATTTACTTCTTGTGGAAATCGTTTGGAAAATGCAGCTCTCCAAACAGCAATCGGTGTACTAAAAGAGACACATTGAAGAATTAATTTTATTCAATTAAATTTCCTATTGAAAAGAACAGTCTAAGAAACATTTGACTAGCTCATTGATAAAAATTTTGATCGAAATTTAGTTATTGGATTATTTCTTCGGTATCTGAATATTCGTATAGCACTTGAGAAATCACTTCAAAAGAATCGTTTGTGACATACTTTTCACGTAAATCACCAAGATCATATTCCGGAATAGGTGGTGGGCCGATTTGATCAGGTGTTTCACTACCTGACTTGACATATAATGGTTTTTGATAATCAATTTGTGGTTGTTTACTAAGAGACGAATAAAATAGAATTTTATCTATTTACTTTTTGTCTTCTTCTTACTTTGACAATTCAGTGTCAAATAAGAAATGATTCATCATGGATTTTAAATGTACAACACTTTCTTGTTTTTCGCTATACGACTAGAAAAATACATTATTATTTAAAATTAAAATATAATATTCTGCTTAAAAAAAAGAGCCATACCATTAATGTCGCACCATGATAGTAAGTAAGAAAACGAAGCGTTTTTATAATAGATTTTTTTGCATCAGGTTCCAAAGTCTATCAAAACAAAAGAAGAAAAATTTCATAACTGTCGATGCACTTAGACTGGTAAAAGCTTTAACTGCTTCGGACACATATCTTGACCTTGTAGAAAGATATTCTCTATTGCTAAGCTTTTGACTACAGGTAAATTTCGTAATAAAAGATGGAATGGGACAACTTTGACTTGCAAAAAAAAGTACAAATTATTTTTTGAGCGATAAAATAAAAATCATGTGAGGTGCTAAAAAACTGTTCAAACTGTAGCTTTCGATTGGTAGCATTCGAATAGCTGCGAATTTCATTTTATTTTAAATTACTTGAAATAGATCATATTTTGAACCAATAATTAATAGTGGAATACGAAGTGGTTCAATATCATGTTTTTCCTAAATCAAAAAGCAAAGGTATTAAAAATCACATTGTTATTATCACGTTCAATTTCTTACTGGACGAATTGTACTGCCGAGACGTTTAAGAATTGATTCTTTAAGTTTTTCTTTAATATTTGGATTTTGTTTTGCTGCTTCACTTATGCAATATTTTACTCTTTTAGCTATCGTATCATATAAAATTTGATATGTATTCCATAATTCTTGTGGTTGAGATAAATCAAGGACAAGTGCAACAGATGCATTTCTAAAAAAAAACAAATTTCATCCTCATTTATATCGATATTTAAAAACACATACCCAATGGTTTCTGGCGTAAGAACAACATCGATTAATTTCGTAAGAGAAGTACCATCACCTAATTCCCATATATGACCAATATCTTTTCCTATCTATTTTATGATTTAATGATATACGAAGAAAGCGAGAGAGAGAGAGAGAAATCGGTTTACTTACTGTATCAATCGTTTTGGGTTTCTTTGCATAATTATAATCAAGTGCTATAGTAGGTTTAGCTGCTTCATTTGTTCTACAAAAATAAACTGAAATTTTAAGAAGAATAGATTTCGAATGAAAGTTATCCGTCAAGTATGTTCTAGATTATATAAATCAAGACATTTCTAAAGTTTGTTTTAGGAACTTTCTCTGATTTTGGGAACAACGAAAAATTGATTTTAGCACTTCGTTCTAATATTCTAGATCGAGATAGAGCTAAAGAAGAAGGTAATATAAAATAAAATCTGAAGTATCTCAAACCGATTCATCATTTGAAAGACTGCCATCATAGGCTGAGAGTTAAAAATCTTCCTTCCACCCATCTACAATCACTGCATTTTATTACAACTGAAATACTAGTCGACACAGTCTGACTCATAAATCCTTATAAAAAAGAATCCATAAAATAAGAGTATTGCATTTTCAGTATAATTCAAAAGCAAAAAAAGAAATTATTTTATATTTTTGCACAACGATAAATTTTCTCATTACAAAATACAATCACAATGCAAACCTTTCCAAGTATCGTAGAATCATTGTTGTTTTACCCTAAACAATAATCACAAGAGTAAGAATAACTAAATGCATTGTATTTTACTCCAGTTCGACTTCCAACAAAAAGAACAGTATTCGATTCTGTTGGCAATGTTTCAGCTAAGAAAAAAACAACAACAAAATAATAATAAAATATAGACAATATAAAACCTTACCCATTTCTCGACTTGCAGCAATTTCTCTCGCTGCGTCCCATAATGATTTTCCACTACCACCGCCGCCACTAAAGAAATAGTTCATTGAAAAAATAATCATAAATAGATCGAGTTTACCCTAAATCTGTTTCTTGTCTTCTTTGTCCACCATAAAAATCATCGTCATGTCTGAAAGAAATTTATTTATATTTTGAAATAGAAATTTAAAAAATTTCACTTACTTTTTAACATCATTTGCTTGATTTTTTTTTGACATATTTTCATATAGAATAGAATTTTTTAATTTTATTCTACGATGTTCATACCATAAAAATAATTCTATCTAGAGCGACAGCCCTCATTCAATTCACACACATGACATCTATGCATTATGTTAAAGAACATAAAGAGAACTCTCGTTACTAAGGTAATAACAGAATACATGATTGAAAAAAACAAAGAATGAACAAATAGTACAAAACTCTACGAGTGTTTCTCTTGTTGTTCCCTTCCCCTCTTTCTCTCGCTCTCTCTCTCTCTATGTCTCTCTCTCTCTCTTTTTTTTATTTCTAAGTCGCTAAACAATTCTAAGTTCATCAAATCCCTTTTGATAGTCTACTTAGAAATAGTAGCTAAAGAGATTTAAACAACTAAAACATACGATGAACCTATGATTCAATTATGATAGTATTTCTATCAAATGGAAAACAATTGCTTGTTATGTTTATATAAGTAAAGTGCTCGAACATGTTTTTTCTGTGTTGAAAAAGAAGTAAGTTTTTTCTTTTTTTGTATCTTGATTGACAAAGAAAACATACGATGAGCGAATGCGGCATTTCTACTGCTTCAAGGGCTATGACATTAACAATGAAAACAGACAGATCGAGAGAATCATTTGTTGATTTTCTCAGTAGAACCACCTTTCGTTTTTATTTTGTTTCTTTATCTAGATCATGCATAGAATTATTTTAGTCGGAAATTTTACTTTTCTTAATTACCGGTGATTGATATTCGCTTAGTTGAATGGAAAGTAAGTTTAGATATTATAGATCACTAAACAAGAGATACTAATTAATTTTGTGTTTCGTTTTATCGCGTAGAATATCGAATACTGGGCAAAAAAGGTGAAGGCACTTTTTCTGAAGTATTAAAATGTCAAAATGTTCGTGATGGAACATTTTGGGCAGCAAAAAAAATGAAACAACTATATAAAAGGTAAGCAAATTTTTAGACTCTAGAATAACTTATTCAATTGTCAACATATACATGCATCAATAATTTATAAAAACAAAAATTTTAAATCATTATGGTTCACATGAGTAAATCTCACGCCTAAGGAGCAATACATTGTTACACCTGAAACTTATTGCACGAGTATTTTTTTTATAAACTTTAATAATGTATTTATTTATGTAAATAATATACGAATAAAACAGAGAACAAGGCTATGTCGATTGGAAATTGTTTTCCTGTTGAAAAAAAATATCTCTATAAAAACGTTTTTACGGAAATAATTTAATTTGATAAAACCACAACGTTTTTTCTTTCTTCTCAGTATGGATGAAATTCATCAAATACGTGAAATACGTGTGCTAAAACAGCTTAATGGCCATCCGAATATTATTTTTCTTCGCGAAATTATCTTGTAAGTTTTTTGTTTTATACATCGAAATTTACATCCATAGAATTCTTCAGTGATAAACGAACTGGTGTTTTATGTTTAATATTTGAATTAATGAACATGAATTTATACGAATATATTCGTGGCCGACAACGAATATTACCAAGTGAAACTGTATGCAAATTTATGTATCAATTGCTCAAAGCTCTTGAGTATATTCACAGGTATTTTATAATACTTATCTATACTAGCTGTCACAAGTTTTACTACAGGGGTTCGATGCGCCACAACGTAAACCATTTCTCTCCATAACCTTCACAGATAACAAGGAGTAAAAGCATGGCCGTATCATAAAATAACCGCAGAGTGGAACGTTCTGATTTTTAACATAGTAAAGTCACGTGACATTTTGTTTGTTAGCAAAAGAAAAAATAAATAATAGCAACACTCGAAAATAATTGCCAATCAAAAATGTGAAAAAATCCATTCTACTGTTGTCTTCGTACATTAAAAAAAAATGTTTTCTTCAACTCGAATCTTTCATCGGTCTCATATTGATAGTGATGACTATTGTTTGATGCGGTATTAAATATTTTTCTTTTGTTTTAGGCACTCATTTTTTCATCGAGATGTAAGATTTTAAAAATAAATCTAACCAGACAATGTAAATTCGTATCATTTACTATTAGGTTAAACCAGAAAATATTCTAATCAAAGATGATATATTGAAATTAGCTGATTTTGGATCGTGCCGACAAACTTTATCTAAACAACCATATACTGAATATATTTCTACTCGGTGGTAAGTTTATGAAGAACTGCTTTTTTTATGATCAAAAATGAGTGTTTTACATGGTCGCAGTTGTTTTTAACTCAAGCTCAAAAGAACTCTTCGTTAACACGAATATTGTCGAATGTGATTAGACTTGTAGCGAAGATTTCGTACGAAAAAAGCACTTGATTCTTGTGAAATCAACTCCTTGCTTTTATTTTTGAGACTCCAACTTTTTTCAAATTGGTCAATAGTGTTCTATTTGCATCTTAGTATTACATTTCATCTAGGTATCGAGCGCCTGAATGCCTGCTGACCGATGGATTTTATCGACAAGAAATGGATGTTTGGTCTGCTGGTAAATAAATAAGCAAACAACGTTTATATAATCAAACACATGCTAAATACTATTTTCTTCGAAGGTTGTGTTATGTTTGAAATCATCACACTCAGGCCACTATTTCCAGGCAGTAATGAACTTGATCAAATTAGTAAAATTCACGATATATTAGGTACACCGTCATCTATCACACTCGATAAATTTCAACAGTAAGTTACCTGTCGATTTTGGTTTTCTTCTTTTTTTTGAGAAAGACTATCGCGTCTACTATTCAATCGGAATTTTATCGTGTATTTAAGTAGTGTATATAATAGAAAAAAAAGCAATACTCTGAAGTAAAACTAATGCTACTCTAAATTCTTTGCATTCACAAAAGAAAACAATTTCAAAAATTAGTTGACAAACTCATGCACTGATGAAAGCATACACTTAAAAGTGCACTAACATGAAGTATTTTGATTCGAATTTCATGAAATATTGATTGTCTCCAGACAACAGCTCAGACCGTTTATGAAAGCTTTGAAGCATAGACTCTATGCTTTGTTCTGTTGAGAGTGAGAAAAATACATTCCTCGAATTCTTACTTCTAAGTTTTTATTATTTTTCCGGTCGGAAGCAGCATCTTCTGGATGATTAACCATCGGAAATTTAGCGATATGAATATTAGCAATCTTTCTGCTTGCATATTTTCAAAACTCGTTGAAAAAAAACATGTGAGACTTCAGCCGATATCAAGATTTTGAGCTCAATTGTTGTTTAAGCTTCACAACTAGAAACACAAACGGTTGTTCGTGATGATAAACATGTTTAATCAGGATTTACTTTAGCTTTGAAACTAATGATATTTTCTTAATTGATATATGCAGGTGATATCTCGAAAAATAGCTTAATAAAATAGAACATTCCAATTGTTGAGCTCATGTTATTTACAAATTATAGTACTTCAGAATTTTCTATAAATATGTGAAAAAGTTGGAGTGACTTAAGTAAAAGAAATTTTTTTTTCTGCTTTTGTTTCTAAATATATCTAAATTCTTTGTTTTTAGTCGTAATGCCGCAGTTGATTTCAATTTTCCTCCTCGACGGGGCACGGGTATTGCTCGTCATCTTACGAATTGTTCGCCAGATGCCATCGATCTTATCAATCATTTGTGTATCTATGATCCTGATCATCGAATTTCGGCTCATCATGCTCTTCAACATCCCTATTTTGACGCTGTTCGGTAAATAAAAAGAATCATTCAAAGAAAAAGAATATTCAATTCTAATGAATAGAAGCCAAGAAAATGGCCAAAGTCAAGAACACGGCACGAATCAATGGGAGAATGGAACTCGAATAGTAAAAACAAGCGAAGATCAATATCAAAGGTCTGATTCAAGTAGCAGCAGATCGAGTGTTAATCAAGAAAACGAATCGCCGTCATTGTATAGTCATAATCCATCTAATACGTATCAGCATGGAACAGTCAACCCTGATACAAATCGAGTATTTATTTAATTGGCCCTGAATTTATATATTTGCATATTTTTCTTTCTCTAGCTTATACATTCACAAGTTAAAGCTAAATCATTAATAGATGCTCGAATTCAAGGACAATCAATAAAAAAACCCTCTACACAATATCCTAATAATGCAAACGCTAAAACTAATAATTTTTCTTCGTTTAACCAATCACAAAATTTCTATAGTAGTTTATCAACAATAGGATCAAATGTTTTTCAGTACCAAGCACGAAAATATCGGCAACCAACAAAACCTAGTCTCAAACCTTTTCTACCTCCTGTATCAGGTGCTTCAGCATTTTCAAATTATCCTACCAACAATGGTCATGCATCATCAATGTTAAACAAAGTAAATAATAATATTTAAAAAAATTGGACAAATTCAATTCTCAGAATACAAGTCTAGAGTTGAATGATCAGTTTCAGACGAAAATGTTTTACTAAAAATCTCAGTCAACATATGAAAGAATAACTATGGTTTTATGAGTCTTTCTCGTTCGATTAGAATGATTTATTTTCAATAGAAGTGCCATCATCGTGTTTGGATTACTTTCAAATTTTTTTCATAACAAAAAAGCAAATATTTCTTTTACATATATAATAGACTACGATATACTTGAAAGTCCGACACTCGTAAGGATACACTAATCGAAGCACATACGCGCACGCAATACCGACGCGTGTATGAACTAGTTTTCATATGGTCTGCAAGGTCGTTTCAATAAAATAGCTGAAATTTATAAAAAAAAAAAAGTGCACTCAAAATATCTCTAACCATAGATTCTTAACAGGATCTACACAAACCAGATAGAGCTTTATCACTCTCAAGGAATTTCTTCATTCAACGATAATCAGAAGACTACAGAAAAAAACAAATTTCATTTTAATTTTAGGATCACAATCAAGGAAAACATGTTCTTGGTTATTATCCAATAATGTCGTATCGATCCTACAAGAAATGAATATGAATAATATTTATAAATTTGAATTTTTCTTGTACTATTGATATTTGTATCAACAAAATTGTATATTAACAAGTCGTTCAAGTTTTTCTTTTTTTCTTTTATTTGTCTTACTTTCTGTTATTGACTATATTTGACTACCTACATAAAAAGAAGAATTTAGAAAAAAAAAATCAAAATCGTCGAAATAAATTTGTTTTATGATCATTAATAAAAAAAATCAGATTTTGATTAAATTGTTCAGATCAATCATTGTTTCGTGTGACAGGACAAGAAAAAAAATGAAGTGATATTCAGCATAAAATAAAGCTACATAAGAACAAAAAAAGGAAGAAAACAAAATATGCACATGAGATAATAATCGTGTCACTGTTAATAATAGTTTTAGTTATCGACTAAACATGAATTATATTTAGTTCGATATAGAGATAAATATGATTAAGATGATTTAAAATTCGAAAAATCTATACGAAGAGGAAGTGAAGGTGCTTGCGATGATGAATTCAATGTAGTATGATAGTGTTTTGATGAATAATTTGATTCGCGTTCATCTTTTTGTTGTTGTTTGAGTTGTTGTTGTCGGCGAATAGCATTCTCAAGTTTCGTACGAAGATCAGGTGATGTTTGAAGAATAAGACGAAATTCATTTGAATATAATGGAATTAAATATTGTATACGTTCGATTATATAGGATATTAAACGTGCATTAGGATAATTAATTCGCACAGATGATAGGGTCGAATCAGGCAGAAAATTTATAAATAATGGAATGATTAAGGATGCTAAACGAACACCTAAACAAAATATTTCAAAAATTAATGTGATTAAGAAATGATCGATTGTCGAACGAATTATAACTACTCTTTTAAATGCTTTACTAAGAAAGAATTCATGAGCGAAATCGCCTGTTTTGCTAAGTACCTAAAATAACTCGGCCGTTCTCTCAAACGACCATTACTATTAGAAATTATTAGGAGTTAAGTCCATAGAATCAATCATACTGATAAGAATTCGACATGTTTTCAGCTCGTGTTAGTTGTTTGGAATATTTTCCCCTATTCTATATCATTCCTTCACTTGGTGCGGAACAGATAGAATTGTTTTTTTGCTTTTGTAACTAAACCCATTTCATATCGAATTAATTATCGAGTAATCCCCATCGATACTTTTTCCATATATATATATATGAGTTAAAATAAAACATACGTAGTGTTGAATCAACGACAGTTAGAAGAGTTTCAAAACATTTTAAAACTTCGATGGTCGATTCTTGCTGTTGTTCTGCATTATCTTTCTTTAGTTCATTCAATAATAATGGTGTGAAAATTTGTATAAACTGATTACGTAGTGCAGTATTTGTACATTGAAATAATTGATTAAGACATTGTAGCACACGAATACGAGTCTATAAGAGAGGAAAAAAAGGACATTAATAAAACTAATTTTTATTTTCTAATTTTTTTACTTCGGGTTTTTCGTCATTAAATGCTTGTTGATAAAAATCTACACATTGATCAGTTAAATTCATGGATGGTGAATTAATAAGTAACGATGTAAGACACTGAACAAAATGTCCATTGTCAGAAACACCTTTGTTCGTCACTAGAATTGAGAAAAAAAAGAACTTTTTTTAAGTCGAACGATAAGGGAAGAACGTTTTTTTTTTGTATTTCCTTAGAACCTCGAAAAAAAATCACTTCGTACTGTAGAGTCTTCTATAGTGTAAGAGATATTCTATTACAAATGTTTAATTCAAGCGAAAGATCGACATATCTCACGTCCCCAGAAATAATTTCTATAATTTATTTTTGAAGTTTCTTACAATTGGTTCTAAAATTAATAATTGTCATCACTGTACAACGTAAAATATCTTTATCGATGGTTGTAGAAAAAATATTCTCTATAAATTGAATAATTGTTGATAGTAATTGTTTTTGATCATCGGTTTTGGTTGAAAGAATAACAGAACTTGTTGATAATAATAACTGAAGAACAACTGGTATTAATGCTTGAAGACCTAGAATTTAATATAGAATGTGTTATTTTCATGGATGTAAAACAATGAATATTTACTATCATTAGTTGAAGATAATGTAATAAGTTCGCTAAGAAGCTTAACATTTAACAACATCATTTCATTCATTTTTTGATTGTCTGAATTTGTTTTAACAGATGATTTCATTTGAAAGATTGGGCCTAATTGTAAATCACCAGCTATATTTGGATAATAACTTAAAAGTACACAAACAAGCAACTCCAATGAAGCAAATAAGAAGGATTCGCCTGGGACTAGATGATCTTCATTGATAGTTGCTATTAATTGCGAACACGATGGAACAATATGAAAGATTTTATCAACAATTCTTAATATACGTATGTGAGTTTTTAAATCAGTACGAACAAATTGAAGACTAAAACGAAAGAATAAAATAATTTATTGCATAATAATTTTCAATTACCGTTGAAGAACATTGAGCATTTCAATGCAAACAACCATGGTTATCTGATGAGTTGCAATGTCTGATTGAATTAAATTGGTGAATGATGATAGCATTGCTTCAATATTTTCTTCTGTTTGATCGGATACTGATATTGAAACAGCCTCAACACAACAGCCTAGTAACATGGCAAAAATATCTTCTTTCTTTTCTGGAAATGTTCGTATTTTATTTGAAAATGTTGATGTAATAAATTTCGTCATTAATACATCTCGTTGTCTATAACCAATAAGTTTTTGATTGGCAGCTAATGTTTCAAGTTCATAATGATGTTCGCCAAGCCACTGTGTCGTCGCTTGCATAACCGATGACCAATTTGCTTTATAGATTGTTCGTGTTAAGTCAAGATTTGATTCAGCAGAATAGAAATTTCCACCGGTTGCATTTTCATCCATGCTACCACCAAATTCATGAGGTAATATTAAAAATGCATAATCAGTTAATGCTGCAAGCCAATGATGTATGAGAACATTCAATTCCGGCTGTACAAGTATCAATAAATTACTATTTGGACTATTTTTTTCTTCATTTTGTCGTATTGTTGCGACATTATAAACATCAGCCCACGCACGAAGTACAGCTAAATTTTCAATTGTTAATGCATTTTCACTATAAATCATTGATGTATCATTTTTATGTTGTTGTATTGACGTGAACTTTTGTAACGATGATACCAGTAATTGATGTACGCGTCGTAGATCATTTAGATCATGTGCAACGCCGCTTGATATCCATGTACTGCACACATCACAGGCTTGCGCTGTGACGTGTGATGATGTGTCTTGAGAAAAAGCTGGGCGTAATGCAGCACCGACTTGTGCTTGATATTGTTCAAGGATAACATGTCCCGGTAGGTCGATATCTTCTTGTATGTGTGCAAATTTGACTATAATTTGCTTGAGTAATGATAAACCTGAGAGACGCAATTGATCACTTGTTGATGTACATGACATAAATGAAAATGTTATTAGGGTATTTAAATGTGTAACGAGATAATCTTCATTTGGATATGTTCGAAGACGTTCCTTAGCTGATATATAGTCGAAATGTAAATTTGATAGTGATGTTTGTTCACAAAAAGTGATGAGTTTTTGAACGCAATCAGCGGCGAATACTTTTGTTGGCCATTTAGCAGATGATGTTGCACGGCGTATAGAATTTTGATTATTCGATGTTTGTAATTGTTCATCGCCGCCTGTATCAGCATAATCGTCGTCGTCATCATCGTGAAGACCACAACTATCTTCATCATCGTCAGCAGTAAGACGTGAAGAATTTTTCGACTGAGAAGATGAAGTTGTAGTTGGGCCAGATGTTTGCTGCTGCTGCTGTTGTTGTTGTTGATCGGCTTCAGCATGTCCTCCGGTGCCAGTTGTTTCTAGATAATATTAGGAAACAAAAAAAATGATTGTTTTATTTATTTTGCAAATAAAAAAGAAGTTTGATTGAGTTCCTTTGTATCGGATACTAAAAATTCTAGTCATTTCAGATTAAGTGATGCAAGAATACTTTAATAATCTTTATTATGATTTTTTTAATCAAAATTTTCTATGTTAATATTAATGAGGACAATTTTTTGTTCTCTCTAAATTATAGCGTAGACATCAACGCTTTTATCAGTAAGGAAATGGGTGTGGATATTGTTGTCACTAACGTTATGGGCCATTGAATATTAGACTCCGGTAGAATTTCTCATAAATTTTCATTCTCTAAATTTTTTCCGCTTGGAGTGAAATTTTCAAATCTTATTTTTTTACAAGATATGTTAATTTTTCTAATAAAAACAAATGGCCAACATTTAATAGCATCACATTGCATTGCTAAGTCTACAATGAAATTAATATGGAACTTTTACTTCATCTGCTACTCACATTCTTCTCTAGAATGAAACAAGACACGAAAGACTTCGGCGACACATTAGTTGTATTTGATTGAGAAAAGAAATGAAATATCGCGGAAAAAGCATTCTCAGATGTCAATACTAAGTGCATCATCATGTCAACTTCAATAAAATCGGAGTACAACTACAACGGATTTTTCGTTGTTTTGAGTTTAACAAATTATTACCTGTAGTAGCAGCAAGAACATCTTTACATAATTGTAACCAACTCGATAAATTATCAGCAGCTAATGCTTGAAGCATATAGACAAGTGTATCTTGTACATTGGAACATAATTTCGCATCTGTTTCTGTATCGAGCATAGAAAAAAGTAATTCTAAAAGAATGGCAAATATTAGTTTCTTTACAGACAATATAAAAAGACTGTTGTTCACCTTCGAGACAACGAAATTCTGAAAGTCCAAGTGTTGAATCTTGTGCTCTATCTTTAATAAATAATTTTGCATGTTCACTAACTTCTTTGGCTTCACGCTGTGATAATTGTCTTAAACATGAAACACATGCACGTCGCAATGATAGATCTCTACACTTTAATCCTTTAATTAAATCTGGTACTAAATTCGATAAATTAACATGACGTGGCGCAAATAAATGTAATTGTTGTAAAGCTTGTATAGCTTCTGATTGCACAATAGGTTCAATATGCATTTGTAAAAGACTACTAGCTGTTAAGCATGATGAACGTAATATCGATATATAATTTGTATTCGTTTGAAGTTCGGGCCCAATTGTTATTATTAAAGCACCAAGTAAACGACCGCAACATTGAAATACGTCTGATTGTGATGGCGATACAGAAAGAAGAAGATGCAGAATCAGTGCTAAACTTGGCTCAACATAAGAACGAAACATTTGTCCACCGCAATCCGCTATCAATGCTAGTGCATGTAATGCCCATACTTGAACCATCGATGCTGATTGATCTTGTGCAAGTGCAAGAAGTATTGATATAGATAAATTTAAATATTGTCCTGTACTCATGCCACCCACATAACGATGTAAACAGCCGAGTGCCAATGAATAACCTGTACGCGATGGAATATCACGAAATTCTTTGAGACGATCAAAACATATTTGTGCTATGTCAGCAACGAACCGTCCATCGCCAACGACTTGTGTTAAACGGCCAAGTGCTTCACCAGCTGCACAACGCAGTATAGGATTTTGATGACTTAATGTTTGCATGACAAGTGTACACGCACATTTTTTAACATTTTCATCATCAATCGATGATGATTGTTTTGTTTCCGCCAGAGTTTTTAAAGCGGTTAAAACAGCTGTAAATATATTTACTTGAACGGCTTCTTGTCGTGCGCCTTTTGATTGTTTAATTATGTCAATAAAATGTTGCAGCATATTTAAACGATGTTTATTTGGCACACGAATAAACATCGTGCCATAGAGAAGAATAGATGAATCTATAACAGCAACACCTAGCGGTAATGGACCAGGTATATTTAATTCAGCTGGACGAGAATAATAGGCATTGCTTGAATTATTATCCGTTCCCGAAGATGAACGAAAGAGATAATTTATAATATTAAAAGATGCCAATGATGTATCTCGACGATAGAGAAATGTTTCATCGTGTTCAAGTGCACCTGAGCCACTTGCAGAATTTGGTTGAAGTTGTTCTTCAATCAATTGATAATCGGTTTCTTGAAGCCAATTACCTAAAACAAAAATACATATTATGAAATCAATACATTCAAAGACGTTTTATTGTACTGTATGTTGTCCTCGAAGATCTATCTGATTCAGATTTCACAAGCAAGAACTAATTTTATCGGATAAAACTCTACGCACAATTCTCGGGTTGCTAACAGTCGTTGTTTTTGACTTCCAAAGTAAATAGCATCCACTGTTTCTGATAAAAACTCTTTTATTCTTACCAAGTAAAACACTATCATTATCATGGCAAACTGATCGCAGTAAAGAAGTCGTCGTATTTGATGAATTGTCCGTCAATGTAAATTCTGCAACTAATTCTCTTAGCAAAATTTTAAAATGTTGTTCATAAAATTTAATTGGTACAAGTAAAAGTAGTTCGTATAAACGTAAACGAAACATAGCTGTCGATGCTTTCAATTGTGGACCAAATTGTTTTATTAGATTGGGTATATGAAGAAGTACAAGTATGGCATTTTCAATTGGATTTAACATACGTTTAAGTAAATCATCTGTTATTAAATGATCATCACCCAATGAACAATTATTTAAGAATGATATCATTGAGCAAAGTGCGCCGGAACGTTGATTAAATGAAAGTGTCCATGTGAATGAATCACCACGTTGTTTTTCTTGTTCGAAATCACTTTGTGATCGTGGAAATACATTGCGCCATAGAAGAACTAAACGTGGCACAAACTTTTTTATAACCTGCTGTCCAAGTGTGCAACATGCAGCGAGTAAATGCCATGCTGTATGAGTACGTTGTAATATAACACGTGGAATTAATGATTGTTGTTGACCAGCTATTGAAGTTGTAGCCGTACGAAGAAGATCATCGGCAAAATCAAATATAGTTTTAGCACGTTGTGATGGAATACCTAAATTAATAATTTTGTTTTTAAGCGATCAAGCTTGAGTTTTGGTACAACTGAAGTAATTCTCTTAGAAATGATTTAGATTATGCAAACAAAAAGAAAACAGTATTTCTATAAATAGATGAGTCTATGACGATATAGTGAATCTATCTATCATTGTTTTTGTCTACGACAAAAAGAAACAGTTCTACTGACCTAATGGACATCGATATACAGCGCCAAGTAGGGCTTGCAGGGCAAGTGCAAATCCTGACATGGCATCTGTGTTGTACGAAGTTGTTTGTTTAGCTAAAGTTTTCATCTTGTCAAGACATCGATCAATCAATGGCGTCATAAGTGACGGTAATGCTGTTGTAATCGAACGAAGGCACCATGCAGCTGACAATCGCACTGGATGTGATGGATTCAGAATAGCTAAAAAAAGTGTATCAATCAAACCATTACAGCTATCTTGTAAAAGTAATGACGTTGACGTTCCAAGACTTTGTACAAGTAGACTAAGCTCATGTAAAGCACAAATAAGTATATGCTGAGTAAATTCAGTGTTTGACGACGATGATTCAAAAGCATTTGTTGATGACGATGCATATGATTGTACCATAGAACTTGTACTTGAATTCAGAGATGAGGAACCTGTTGATGCATGCAAATCATTGGTTGATGTCGGCGATGAATTTGCATTATTCGGTATGATTTGTGGTGTTGTATAACGTGTAATAATTGTGGCGTATTCTTTTGCAGCAGAAAATTGTGCTTTCTCACCAAGACGTGAACCAATAACTGAACGAAGTATAAATGTAATACATTTGCGTGAGTAAACAGCATCAACATGTGATGTTGATGCACGAGGGTTTCCAGCTAATTCAAGAATATGATTGATAAATAAAGATAGATTTTGTTCAATCCATGGCGTGCCAAGAACGAGAGCTAATTCTACATAAGTCTAAAAAGACGAAGAGAGCGAATTAGTTTTGTTTTTTTTCCGTTTCACCGAAAAAGCATTTTTTTTCTTACATGAGTAACACCAATACGTATCTCGCGTTGGACTGTTGTTGGTCCTTTGAGACGTTCCGTTGTATTCGATTTTAAAAATCCAATGTTACCACGTAAAAATCCGCCAGCTAAATAATTTAATAGATCTTCTGTTTTAACTTTCTTTGCATTGGTAATGTTTGCATTCGATTTACTCATTGCGTCTAATAATAATTTTCAGAAAACAAAAATAAAAATTGTGTCTGTTTTTTTCAACAGAATTTTATTTACTTTGATTTGAATTTAGATTTGTCTCTTGTGTTGCAGCTAATAATGCGGCTAGATATTTCGCTACTGAACAACGAACTTCATAATTTGAGCCATCAAGTGCACGAAAACCTAATGTTACATTCCCTTCTAATTCACTTGTATACATGAAATTGTTTTGATTAATTAATGCAATAAGACACTAAAAGAACAAAGAAACAACTATGAATTCATAAAAATTTTATAATTAATACCATTGCAGCAGCTGATCGAACAGGCATGGCTCGATCGCATATGTATGTTTTAGCAAGTTTATATATTTCACGATGAATATTACTACCAGCTGAGCCAAGTCCATTAATAATATGTTCAAATGTAAACATAATTTCAAAACGCATTTGAGAATCTCCATTTTTTAACATTTTAAGTAACAATTGAACAGTTTCCTCATAGGAACGGCCAACTAGCCGACCGAGACGTTCATAAAGTGCACCAATAACTACCACAGTGGCTCTATTCAAAAATATTTAAAATGAATTTGTTTTTTTTCTCTTTTTCAAAATGGAATTTACAATTTAGCTGTTTCATCTTTGGATTTTAATACTTCATTACAACGGTTGACTGTATTGAATAATGGAAATGGATCTCCGACACTAAATAAAGTTGCTAAATTTCGACCTATTAATGTTCGTATTGGTGGACCAGGTCCGTATTGAACTTGCTGCATAAGCTGTTCAACAATACGTGGTTGACATTCACGAATGTCATTCTAGAAAGAAAGACAAGCAATGTTTTGCTTATCATTATTAATACAAAAATTATTAGTAAACTGTACCTTTTGAGCAGCAACGAGTACTTTATTTAAGAAGCATAGCCATTCATAAATAAATACGGGTCGTTTGTTTTCTGGTAAACTATTAAGTGCTTCTTCATTCAATATTAAACTTTGAGCAAGCTCCAGCATTGCTCTAGAATTAGTTCTAATATATTTATTTGTAATAAAAAAACAAAATTAAGAATACAACATATTTGACAAATTTAAGATATTTGCATAATAAAAAACAACGAGATCAAAGATGACTATTATTCTTGCTAATTATGAATATTAAGAAGAAAAAAAAGGATTTTTATAGAAGAATATGACAGTGATTTATTTTATCTAAGGGTTTGACACAGTCAATAGATTCTCATCTTCTGAGTAGATTTAGGCGAAATAAATATTCTAGAGAAGCTCTTATTTCGCGAAGATTTTTCTTTCCTTCCTTCCGCATTTTTTTGATGAATTACTCAGTTGCAAGCGCTTAGGTTTTTTTTTGTTCTCGTAATAGGAAAAGTCAAACAACCAATAGGAAATAAACGATAGAAATCAGAAGAAAGAATGACAACTAACACCATCTATCGTGCTTAACATACGCATTTATATTCATAAAATCAAATGTTTGGATATTATCGTTTAAAAATATTGAAAAATCTAGATAACTCCCTTGAAATTTATGGTTTTTAGGACGGAAACTAATTTATTTCTTCGTCATTTATTTGAAATAAAACAAAAACGCATTTGTGAGTCTATTCGAGAGAAAATCGGTGAATTTGATTATTCAAACCATTTATGATATAGATATTGCCATGGCGATCGAAAGACAAACCAGTTGGCGACAAGAACTGATCTGCTTCTTCTCTTTCTCTGTTATCACCCACAATAATAATGCCTTGTTTTGCTCCTTGAGGCCAACGCATCACTCGATCATTGTACATGTCTGCCACATAAATTGTGCCTGACATATCGACAAACAACCCTCCAGGAAAATGCAATTGTGTTAGTGCCTTCCCATAGCCGCGACCTCCAGCAACGACTAAGCCTTCTTTGGCACCTTTGTTCCACTTCATCACACGATGATTGCCCCAGTCTGACACATAGAGTACCTGTTGTCGATCGACAAACAGGTGCCTCGGCGCGAAGAGCTGATGAAAACCAGAACCTCTCCCATGCCCACCGGCCATGAGGGTTCCATTATTGTATCCGATTGTATATTGTCTGATTTCATGCTTTTCAATGTCAGAGACATAAAGAAATCGTTGATCACACATAGCCAATCCATGGCAATCGGTATTGTCGACGAGAATTTCTCCCTGAGTCGCATCGCTACGACGAGACCATCGTAAAACTCGTCGGTTACCTTGATCACAAATGATGAAGCTATTTGTCTCTTGATCGATCAGCACATCAGTGGGATTATTCAATTGATCTTCAGATTCATTGTCACCAACAATTACTTGTCCATTTGGATCTCCCCACTTCCATTGCATGACACGATTGTTACCTGTGTCAGCGATGATCATTGATTGATCATCATCGACGAAGAGAGCACGAGCAGTATCGAGTTGGTTTATGTCATTATCATCGTCGTCGTCGTCGTGACCACTAGCAACAGTTACGCCATCATGGACCCACCGAGCATGAACTGGAATATTGGGCTCCACTATCAGTAACAAAAATAAAAAAAGAAGTGATATATTCTCCTATGAAGTGAACACGACTTACTAAGATTTATCTGGTGGATTTAAGGTTTAGAACTTTTCGGGTTTTAATTATCACTGCATAGATCTTCAAAATTAATAGGATGAATTCTCTGAGATTTTTTAGGAGCAACGAAAATATTTACTAGGATTCTGTCTTGAATTGTATAGATTTCATGCTTCTTCTTTTAGAAGGAAATTCAAAAAAGCACTTTTGTTTGTTATAAACTTATAAAAGAAAAATTTAATTCAGATTTCACCTGTATGAAAGAATGATTCAACAAGAAGTTTTGTTCAGAAGATCTCACGTTGTGCTAACTGAAAATTTCTAAAGACTTTCGAATATAGAACATTGGACAATCTTTTATCAACTAAGAAAAGATTCAACAAATTTGCGCCAAGAGATACGGAATGCTCCTAAAATATTGCCCAACAACATGCTTACCGCGTAAAAATTCCAAGTGTGTACCATAGATAATGAAGAGCTTGATGTTTTCATACCAGTGGTGTGTCATATCGCTTTGATTGTTGAACGCCCTAAACTCGATGTTCACTTCGAGTTCCCACATATCATTTTGTAAAATCAAACTGATGTTTTCTTTCGACGAATCTGTCTACAAAAGTTTTAGTGAAATTCGTATTGGCGCATATTGGGGCTTACCTAAAATTTCCTTAGCGGAAACTGAATAATTCCTTTTAATTCCTTTCAATTGCATGGATACACCATCGCTCATATGTGCTCTTAATACGGCTTGAGAGTTTGGCCAAATGCTTGAATCCCACTTGTTCGATAAATCGACACGTTGCAACATAGTAGCTCTCTCAGTGCGCAATTGTAAAGTGAACCGGCAACTAAGATTACTCTTATTAGACATTATCTTAGTGACATTACCAGTTTGTAATATCCAACTGTTATCAAGAGAAATATTGCAATCATATTGACCATCGTTGAGCAGGTTGCTATCATGAAAAATTGTTTCGCCATCTTTTAGAACGTCTTGAGTAGAGAGAGCGTTTTGCAGGTTACTATCTTCAATTTCGGCAGCAGAAAAATCAGCCTTGTACAGATTCGCACGAAAAAAATCGACGTTGTTCAATTTAGCGTCTTTGAATGAAGCATGTTTTATATTTGAGTGACGAAAGCTCGATTCGGACAAAGTTGCACTACTGAAAAGCGCTGCGATGCAAGTTGCTTTTCGGAATTCAATGTAGGATGCTGTCATACCATCGAAATTGGCTGAGGCTAAAAAATAGTCAAATACTTATTTGATGAATAAAAGAGTATAAAGTTATGATAATTTTTACGTAAAATAGCGAATGAAAAATTGACATTCAGAAGTTGGGCAGACGAAAAGTCGGCATTGTTGATAGTAGCATATGAAAAATCGACATTTTGAAGTGTCGCAGTTGAAAAATTGACGTCAACGAATCTTGCGTGTGAAAAGCTAATATTCAGCAGCACACACGATGAAAAATCAACATGATAAAATTGTGCAAATGAAAAGTTGATATGATCGAGCTGAGCAGACGAAAAAGAGACATCGAAAAGCTGAGCAAATGAAAAATTCCCATTTTCTATTTGAGTCGATGGTAAGTGGGTGTTGATGAGCGCACTGAATGAAAAGTTAACATTGAAGAGTGAGCTGAATGAAAAGTTGGCATTACGAAACTTTCCATATGAAAAATTTAAATTATTCAATCGAGTGAATGAAAAACTGACGTTGTTGATGTAGTCTGAAAAGAAATTCACATTGTCAAACTGATTAGTTGCAAAATCTACATATTCCATGTCAACCCCAGCAAATGTCGCATTCGATAAAAAGACGCCAGTCAATGATAAATTCGTAATTTTCATTTTAAGGATTGATAGACGACGAAAATTCATATCACGCAATTCTGCTGCTGAAAGATCCAATGGCGAATGTCCGTCTACTTCAGCAAGTTGGTTGGCTTCGTAGAGAAATCTAATAACACGCATATTACGTTGTGCATCTAATTCACGCAAAATATTCAAAGTTTTCACGCGAGCAAGTGTAGCCGTGACACGATTAGCAGTTAGAAATCCATTGCTCTCCTTTAATAATTTACCCATTTCTTTGATAAAAGTATCGAGAGCTTCGTTTTTGTATCTTTGCTCCTCGAGATTTTTCTCTTGTTCACGCTGTAGTTGAGATGCTTTTCGATCTTCATCGCGTTGTTGTTTAGCTGCATTTTGTTGCTGAAAAGTAATAATCACAGTAAAGACACCTAATGCAAGTGGTAGTAATAGAGAGGAGATAAATTTTAAAATATCTCCTAATCTCAGACCAAACAATTGACGCGGTGCAAAGAGCAGTCGATCTTTTTGTGCACTTTTTTCTTGAGGAATCATTCTATTCTCTTCGTTTCACGCACAGAAAGAAGTGAATGAATGATTACGACTAAGGATGATTGAAATTGCATCATTTTGTCGTTCATATTTTAAGATAAACATAGTGTGCTGTTTGCACTATGAAACACGAGCTACGATTTGCGAAATGTATCCATTTTTGTTCGATCAATAAATAAAACGTGATAAATAAATGCACATGTATGTTCCTTATTTATGTCACATTTGGATGTTATTTAATATTTACGATTACAAAGCAGAAAAGATAGATCGAGCAATAGTGCCCATAATAACTATTTTTATTGTTTGCTCATATATCTTGGTGGACATTGCTGATTCTTTCTGTTAGTAGTGTTCCGTAAAAGGTTAGATATACATATTGTAAATCTCTATTTGATGCCGGTTCAAGTGAAATAGATAGTTAAAACGTTTTCCCACTGACATCTATGTTCAGAACAAAGTACATTTTTATATAATCTTGCAATGTGAATTTTGTTTCTAAAATAAGATGAGAATGTCATTATGAGATTTTATTTAATCATCCTCATTCGCATCGCGAAAGACAAGTCATAAACATTCTAATTGCGCCATTACATATGCCTCAATTTCAGTTAAGATATTTTCGAAAGAAATATTTGAATCAACAAATCTTTGCTGAAATTTATCAACGCCTCTCCGATTAATAATAATGAGATAGATTCTATTCTATGATAAACGAGCATGTATTAATTCTACGACGAATGTTGGAACTTTGCAAAATTCAATTTGCACATTTAGATCGATTTACATCCAATATTCATTTATTCAATCGTAGTCCTAATCAAAGCAATGCGCTATCAAGTCAAGATGTTCAACAAACATTCAAAGATTCTATGAATAATCAAATTATTTATTGTGAAGATTATTTCGAAGAAAGTAGTTAGAGTTATTGTCATATTTATTCATATTGCCTGCAACAATATGATCATATTACAAATAATTTTTCCGGTGGATTATGCCAAGATAGTTTCTCGAGTATCATTATTTGATGAGTGAGAAAGCACACGGACGAGAATCAAGTTTTTATCGGTTATTAAATATTCTGATCGTACTAAACTGTATTTACCACATTATGCTCGTCTTAGTGCCAATTACGAATCTTTAAAACACGAATGACACAAAATCTTGCACGAGATACAACACGAATCAACTGCATTAAATTCGATTATTTTTCCTATGATAAAAATCTTCAAATTCTAAGCCATGTCAACAACTATTTTCTACGTGTAGATATGCTTCGCTAACGTCGTTTCTCAATTATCATTTTAATTAAAAAAAAAATCATAGTTAATTGTTAATTATTTCACATATTGGTCTATACTAATGAATACAGCGCCAAATTGGCTATAAAATCATTTGGATAATTAAGATGCATAGAATGTTAAATTATCACAATAGTTGTCTACTGACTATAGTCTAAAATTCGCGAGAATTTGGCCTTCCAGTTCATATTTTGAGTTTGTTTTGATGAATAAAAGTATTGATAGGATACAAGGACGTGTCGTGGTGAAAAGAAAACCCACAACATAGACAGAAACTCAAACAAGAAGAAATGGTTTTTTTTTCGATTTCTATAGCCCACACAGTAAAACAATGCAAATCGAAATCGTTAAAATATCAGCTGTAAACATCGATTTTTATTATGAATAAGCTTGTCAGATTCAAATAATCATCTTTTGTTTAATTATTCTCAATAAACATAAACGACACCGACACAACCAAGAAAATATGGGTTTTATTCATAAGAACATATTGACTCATATTTTGTTTGCGTCTTTTTCTTTATCTATCAAGTTAATAGACCAGAAAGAAGCCTGGCAATACTCGGTAAAAAAAAACACAGAAGCAACTTATTATAATAGCTGTCTTTACCACGATTATACGTGCCCAACGATTAATTCAATGGCTGGTGTGGCTAAGTTATGTGATGGAAATATTCTTACTAAATCAAATAAAATAGTTAATCTTACCGATAAGACATATAAAAGAAAAATAATCGGTCTTTATTTCAGTGCTCATTGGTATACTTTATATTTTGTTGTTAGTTTTAATTAAATTTTATTCAAACATTTTTTCTTAGGTGTGGACCATGCCGTAATTTTACTCCACTATTAAGCGAACTCTATCAAGAGTTTCATAAAGAAAAGAATGTTGAAATTATTTTCATAAGTCATGATCATGATGAAAAATCATTCCATGACTATTATATGAGTATGCCTTGGCTAGCCTTAAATTTCAAGGATCGAAAGAAGAAAGAGGAGTTAGCAAAAAAACTTCATGTTAAACAAATTCCAAAATTAGTTTTACTTGATGGTGATTCAGGAGAAGTTATTTGTACGAATGCAGTTGATCAAATTCTATATCTGGATCCTGAAGGAAATAATTTTCCGTGGAGATCAAGGCACTAATATCATATGAATCATCTTGTTTTTTTTTACATGTAGTGTATTATCCTTTCAAAATAAACATATAGTCACGGATCCAATCATATAACTAGTACATTTTTATTTCCTACGCCTCTTGTAAGAGATGAATATATTTATCTTTTTACTTTGTAATTATATTTAAGCATGCAATTCATATTTCTGAAATAAAACGTACCAAAGAAATCATTGACCTCTAATTTTCGAACCTGAAACATTGAACTTATATTATTTCCTTAGCTGTTTTACTATTATGTTAATTCTCTTTCTCTGTTATACGAAAAAATAGAATCAAGTCTATACGAAATAATCAATTAGTGTATGATCTTCCTATAGTAGACTATCGATCACATCAACGATAAACATCGACTATTTCGTCGATCTTTCAACCACTTAGATGATATTTGTCTCATAGAAATCTTTTTTTTCGTTTATTGAGTCCATCAATGAACTGACAAATGCAATCTACTAAATTCAACTAATGATCACCGGAGTGCAATTGCAGATTTTTCACGCTAAGTCATTTACGCTCTTTGATACTCATACTCTCACTTTTATCTGGTGCTACATAATTTCTTGTTTTCTGCTATCGAATAATAGAGAAAAATATTACATTAAATAGTACATTAAATCTCGTTGATACCGAGCTTTTAATTACTGAATTGGAAGATCGATATTCATTAAATTAAAAAAAATATTTTCTTGCTTTATTTATTCTGATTTTTCATTCTCTTTACCATTAGTTTATTTATTTCATTATATTTAATAGTTTTAAAAGAGATAGTAAAACTAAATCAAAAATATCCGAAAGTTCTTAGAATTTCTGTCATGATATTTTGAAAATAAAGTGTTCACGTAGCGCTTAAAGGTGAATCCTCGGTTAATACTACAGAATGGTATTATAAAATTCTAATATTTCAGCGAAGACAACAAATGTTATCGTCATTTCAACCATTTTCATTGGGCATTCTAATGATTGTATAATTCAACAATCGATTTCGAACATAATTATTTATGACATGCCGTGAATGTTCATTGAATCGTGATGATCGATAATCAATGAAAAAAAAGCAACATAATTTCTATTTTTTAGTTTTTCGATGTAAAAATTCAATATAAGCTGTATTATCTCTACAGTAGCATTATACAAGACGATTTTATAAAGAAATTATACATAAATTAATTACCGATAATAATACAAATGATTATTTTTGATTCTCAAATATAGATATTGCGAAACAATATTATGTGATGGTTCTGATTAGTTTTATAAATGATAAGTAGTCTGTGAGAGGTAGTCCACGGATGACAGTGACAGCTAAGATTCTGATGTTGAATAGGTCTAGCATTGATGTTATGGCTGAGAAGGATAACAAATTGACCTATCTTATTATCTGGCTTCTGAATATATAACGGTTTAAACATGATCTGAAGGTAGATTGGAACAATCAAGATCAGAATATTTTTGATCACAAAAAAGGATGCTTTTGGTTACCATTTTTTCTTAGCATTAATTTCACATTATCTATTTTTCAACAAAATGTAGCCTTTACAAAAAATATAAAGCCCCTCCCATAATAGAAGCCCCCTCCAAAGAGAGCGATCTGCCCGATGTATTAGAAGTCTCCTACATTTTTAGGGCATTTTAAGAGGTCAAAACGTGTTAAAATCGTATTGATCAGTATCGAGAGTCGGAAATATCTATTTACGTATAAAATAAAAGATATTTGTACAAGTTCCGTTAAATTTTGAGGATGTCGATTTTGGTATCTTCTTTATCCTCACCCACAACCTTCTGTATATTTAAAAAAATAATATATATATTATTTTCCCGAACATATGCCGTGCTAGATGTAAGAGAATCATTTCGACAATCGAATCCCATCAGATTCGACAGTGGTGCGATCGAATTTTATGTGAATTTCGATAAAACCAACAAATTCCTTTAGGATTCGGTGTCGAATTCATTCAACTGGGAAAATAATAAAGGAAATTTTGTTGTTTTTCAATAATGAATAAGACGTTTTTTAATTTTCTTTTTGAGATAAAATAATTATTCTGTTTTTTGCCAATTAGCACATGCTATAATCCATTTGGTGGTTGTTTTAAAATTATTATAATCGACCAGTTCATCATTATCATTCGTTGTAGTTTTGCTGTTTGAAAATCCCAAATCCTACAAATTAATATTACTATGAAATTATGATGTAACATGTAATAAGTTTTATATAAAACTGTAAATGAATCTTTATAATATTAATCTTGAATTTTGATCAATTAGATTTACCAAGAAAAGCAACTGTTAATAGAATCAAAAAATCAGTTCTATTATACCTTTTTCTTGCTTAACTGAAAATTAGTAAATTCAATATTTGCAAGAGTCAAACATTTAATTTACCAATAAAATAGTAATTATTGCTCTGATCATTGAATAAAACGAAATCAAAATTAAATTAGATTGTGGCAATCAGATTCACGGATGAAACAATATCGATACCTATATAATACTATTAGGTCTTATATTTCAACAAACTTAATTGATTATACAAGAATGTAAAATTTTACCTTTTTGTGGATTTATTCATCAAAATCATCTAAATTTATTTGTCTCTTGAGATCAGTTGTTGTTTTTCGTAGCATTGCTTTTGCATCACTTAATAGACGTAGTGCTAAATCACCTTCCACTTCGACTGCACCAAGATCTGTTGCTGATGAACAAAAATGATTTATCATCGTGACCAAATAATTGAGTTCCTTCTCTTCTTTATCTAACAACAAATTAAATGAAATATAATAATCGTTTTACGAAATTCTAGCAGATATTCTTTCGAAATAATTTTTGATAAACTTTATCTCTTTGATTTAAAAAGAAAGTTTAGTTTGGGTATTTATATAAATGAGTAATATATTTCACATTCAAAATAATATAGCTATCATTAAAATAGCATAACTTTATTTTATATTGTTATTATTCGCTTTATGTGCGTGTTGATGGAAATCTCGACATCATTTTTTTCGTACCTAAGTTTTTTTAGATTTTATTATGAAAGAGTCATATTTTTTTATTTTATTAGAGCAAACAAATAATCAATATTAGAACAGAAAAATGCCTAAATAAAAAGAATTTTCGAGCGAAGATGCAACATGATCTCAATACTGCACTAATACTCACTGTCCCACTGACTCTATGATAATATGCGTCTTCTGTTCATGAGCCGCTCTCACTAATGATAAATGGTCGGTCTTGTATTTTTATATCTATAAATATAATATTCGAATTCGTAGCAATAATATGCTTTCCTTGCACTGCTGAAATAAATTCTGATAACATCATTTTCCGATTATTTCTCAACATTCTTCTCTTCATGATAAGGCAAAAAATGATTTCGCTTTACTTTGATTATTTTCTATTTGAGATACGTCGATCATGAAATAGCGACTGTTGCTTTTTATTTGAATAATCAAAACACCAAGTATTACATCTGATATCGCAAATTTAATAACATGTTGGGCAACAATAATAACAGAATTGCCATTTTCAAAATCCTTGTCCACAATTAAATCAATATTAGATTCGCCAGTAATTTTTGGTATTTCAGATGGCAAATTGAAGCATACGTTATTATACAGTATATTTTTTAATAGCTGCTTATAATGAATCGATTCATTTTCATCATCAGACCTAACACCAGTGTAAAGTATTTTATTGGTCAATTTCTGAGGATTTTTAAAATGTGATTGATCATTAACCCCACCAAGAATCAATGCAGCTCTAGAAAAAAGTTTGCGTAGTCTAATAAATCACCATTCACTGAAAAAAAATCCGCAGAATAATGAACGCTTGTCCTTGTTTTTTTTAGTAGCAAACCCTCAAAGGGTTTATTGGCATGGTATCAACCCTTTCAATGGTTGATTAACACTAGGG